GGCTGATGAAGAGACTCTCTGGTTCAGAAAGCAAAGGGGGGAAACCCCTCCCTGAGTTAGCAAAGACAAAAGGACAGAGTTTCAGGAGGGAGGGGCAGAATTGCAGTGTGTGATGAGGTAGGCGAAAGGAGAAACAGTTGCATTTTGCAAGCTGGAATGGAGGGGGCAGGAAGCAGAGCATCAGGTGGGCTTTCTGTTTTATGTTGCAGAGAGGGTCAGACCTGATGTTTGGGGTCTCCTGGAATCAATGTTTGGGGTCTCCTGCAGCAATGGAAGGAACAGGGCCCTCGTGGGAATGTGAACGCTCTGTGCTCTCTCCATTGTAGCCTCAGGTTGCATATATGTGTAAATAAACCAAATATTGTAAAGACACCACAGTCTCCGCTGTGCCTCATTGTCTAAAAGGAAACTCAGCCCCTGGTAAACATGCCTGGTACCCCTGGAATCTAACACCGCTCAGAGATTGGGGTGGCTTGTAACAATATGAAAGCTAAATGACTGACACTTTCCAATAACTTCAGCTAGTTTGGAGGATCATATCTCATCTTTTGCTGGCCCAAAGAATTGCTTTACCCCTTTCTTTGCAGAAGCCACAATTAAACCAGGAAGCCTCTAATTAACCATAGTTTCCTGTTCCGGTGGAACCAGAAAACTATAGTTGCCAGCTTCAGAAAAAGCAAGGATGTTTAAACTAGCTTTATACTGTGCTTTAATATCCTGGCTTGTTCGAAGGCTGGCAACCATAGCATGCCTCTGAATACCAGTTGCTTTTGCTCACTTCCTGCTTCTGGACTTCCCAAAGGCATCAGGTTCACCAATGTGAGAGACAGGATGGTGGCTTAGAAAGCTCTTTGGTCTGATCCAGCCAGACTCTTCTTAGATTCTTGTGAACTGTGGCCCATACATTACCATCTTATAAACAGCCTTTGAACCCAGCTACAATTAATACACAACTTTTTTGTACTCCCTCCTTTCTCCAAACATATGGTTTCATTTTTAGTCATCGGTACTAAGAAATGACGTTGGCACTTTTCACAGTTCCCATCCATGCTGGGTGTGGAAAGACAGGGGAATCCCAAAGCCCTTTCCTGAAACATATTGCACCAGCTTGCATTCACTTCCCTTTCGTAAGCAGTAACTCCATCGTCTTAAGAAATCCTGTGTTTTATCTTTTGAGTGTTGCAATGGTGTATACTATCTATTTTCTAAACCTCCTGCAAAGATCAAAATGTTCTCACTTCTCTTTTCATAAGGAGGGGGGAGGGGTATTACATTACCAAAACATATTACAACAAAACCAAGCCTTGGCACTTCCCCCCAACTCTTTGTGCGTATCCATATATTAAAAGAGGATTAGATCAATTCATGGAGGAGAGGGTTATCAATGCCTATGAACCATGATGGCTGTGCTTTGACTCCACAGTTCAAGGCAGCAATGCTTATGAACACTAGTTGTTGGAAACCCCATCTCCGAAATTTGCAATGCAGTTCTCCAGACAAGTGTTGTGTACCAAAAATGCAAATAAATGACTATACGTTGGTGAAAATAACATCGAAATGCATTATATTAGAAGGAAATGCTTTGCAAAAATTTTCATGTAAACACAGATAACAAGTTTCACGACGACTTGTTTTTTTCATAAAAAAATTGCCAATTGATGTGGAAACGTGAACTAAATTTGAAATTGGAAAAATGCAAAGCTGAGAGATCCTAGTACCGAAAGGAACCGAAGCTGTGCTCCTCTTCATGACTACCCTATTATTTGATACCGAAACCTTGAGGTGAGTAAAGAAGGAGTGACCTGCTCTGAAGTTGCGTTTTCAATGAAGAACAGCTAAGAAAATTAAATAAAACCAAAACTGCCCCACAGATTCCCTTGTTGTTCCTCATCTCTTTCAAAACCCACAGAGTCTCTGCAGGGACTCTGAAAGGTCGACACCAACCCTGCAGGGTGGGATCCTAGAGCGCTGAGCTCAGTATTCAAGCTGGCCATCGTCTCCATGTCAGGTCCATGTCTAGGAGACATATGCCAGCTCCACAACACACCAAACACCCCTTCCCCCTTCTTTTTCTGGATTTCTAATTGTGGGCTTAATTTCCATCCCTTCCCTTCTAAAACTGGGGGGGAGCTCTGTCCCCTGCACATAAGTTCAGATTGCTATGGCATCTACTTTGAGGTGTGCTTGAAATGAAGGGTAATTGATTGTAGCCTCGACTGCCGATCGGCCACTCTGAAACGCAGGCGTCTGGGCTTTTACTCCCCTGTCCTATTGTTATGTACTGAGTTGAATAGGATCCAAAATGCAGCAGTCTGATTGGTCCTCGAACAATAGGATCCAAAATGCATCAGTCTGATTGGTCCTAGAACAATAGGATCCAAAATGCAGCAGTCTGATTGGTCCTAGAACAATGCAGCAGTATGATTGGTCTGCAGGAGCCACCCAATCCAGCTCCAGATGGAAGTGAATCCACAACCTGATTGGCCTACAGGAGAATCCCGGAATTAGCCAATCACGTGCAGCCCATTGTGTAAATAATGTATATAAAGCAGATATTGTGGGGGAACTTCTATTCCTCCTCACCACTTTGAGCTGAATAAAGAGCATGAAATCCACTCTCAACTCCGAGTATATTTCACCTATTAAATCCTGCTTTCCCCCCTCCAGACTGCCCTGTTACTTTTACCTACATAGCAATTACCCTTTTGTGGAGGTGTATTCCAGGCTCAAAAACCTGAGTGTTTGGCTTCTGAAAGCACAAGGCCACATGAGCAAGGAATATGGGGCATCTGGCTCTGTTGTCACTGTCCTGGCTTCCTTCCCGTTTTGCCCAGCACATTATCGAACGTTACAGCTGTAACTTAGCGCAGCAGCTCTGCCCAGCTAATCGGAGTTGTTTATGTCTTCAGCAGCCTTCGTCCATTCCTGAGAAGTGTCGCTAATGAGATGCTGTCAGCTGCAGGGATGTGAGGAACCTCTTGCACTCGCGGCGGATAATTCAGGAGGCCACTTCAGCAGCTGCCCAGACTTGCTCAGAGAGAAGATGACTGCCTTTCAGTTACAATTAGTCCGTGCGCTCCACAATCTTTGGCAGGCTGCAACAAAAAGGCCCGCTTCTCTTTGCATTTGATCTGAATGACTGCGCCAGATTCTGGTGTTTTCACTTCAGTACCAGGCTGTACAGTGAGATGCAGCTTGGGAAACCTCCATAGTTCAGTGCTAGAGTGCCTGCTTTGCATTCAAATGACCTCAGGTTCAATCCCTGGCATCTCCAGAAAGACCCTTGACTGAAACCCCAGAGACCTCCTGCCAGTTTGTGTTAACAAGACTAGGCTAAATGGACCAATGGTCTGATTCACTATAAGGTGGCTTCCACGTACCTACGGGACTGCCTCTCCTGGTATGCCCCACGGAGGACCTTAAGGTCCACAAATGACAACATTTTGGAGGTCCCAAGTCATAAGGTGGTTAGATTGGTCTCAACTAGGGCCAGGGCCTTTTCAGTACTGGCCCCGACTTGGTGGAGCGCTCTGTCAGAAGAGACTAGGGCCCTGTGGGACTTGACATCTTTCTGCAGGGCCTGCAAGACAGAGCTGTTCCGCCTAGCCTTTGGTTTGGACTCAGTCTGACCCTTATGTTTCCCTCCCCTTATGGTTTTCATCTATGGGCTACTTTTAAAATGAGTCTGCATTTTAACCTGCATTTTAAATTGGTTCCCCCCCCCCATTATGTTTTTACTGTAATTTTCCTGGTGTTAGCTGCCCTGAGCCCGGCTCTGGCTGGGGAGGACGGGGTATAATTAATTAATTAATTAATTAATTACCTGCCCTCTCACACCAGCGCTGCTGCAGCTTCCCTGGATGGTGATAGGGTGGGGTGAGGAAGGGCAGTGGTGAGGTCAGGGCTGTATGGGTGCACAGAATCATATAATTGTAGAGTTTGAAGGTCCCTCAAGTGCCATCTAGTCCAACTCCCTGCAATCCAGGAATCTCAACTAAAGCATCCATGACAGATGGCCATCCAACCTCTGCTTAAAAACCTCCAAGGAAGGAAATTCCTGTGGGAGTCCATTCCACAATCGAATGGACTCTGTCAGGATGTTGTGGACCAGGGCCAGATTTAGAAGCCCCAAACACTTAAAAGATTTTGGTTCCCCCCCCCCATATATATCTAATTCAAAATATAAACAATAATAAACCGTAAAATAACACACACACACCCCAAAACAAAATGAAACCTACAGTATGATGGAAAATAATTGTTATTTATGTATACAGTGGTACCTCGGGTTAAGTACTTAATTCGTTCCGGAGGTCCGTTCTTAACCTGAAACTGTTCTTAACCTGAAGCACCACTTTAGCTAATGGAGCCTCCTGCTGCCGCTGCGCCGCCGGAGCACGATTTCTGTTCTCATCCTGAAGCAAAGTTCTTAACCCGAGGTAATATTTCTGGGTTAGTGGAGTCTGTAACCTGAAGCGTATGTAACCTGAAGTGTATGTAACCCAAGGTACCACTGTACTTCCACTTTATTTATTTATTTACTTTTTATTGTTGTATTTTAACTCCATTTATTGTGGGAGCCTTTTTTTGGTTCAGCTGCACCATGTGGTCTATGGTGAATTCGGCAATGGAAAATTTCTGTGGCGCCCCCTTTCCCTTGATGCACATTTTGCTTAATGGTTAATCCAGCCCTGTTATGGACTGGAGGTTTTTAAGCATATCCACTCTGGCCTCAAAAGAGTGCAAAAATAGCTACAGTGTGAGCAGGGCCATTGTGGCAGAGAGAACAGAGTAGTGACATGTGCTCCTTGGGAGCTGTTTTGCATGTGCTTCAGCATAGGGATGTGGGACTTTAGGATTCCATCATATTGGGCAGGTCTCTCATGTTCTTTGCTGCTAACCAACGTCAAAAGGAAGTTACTCAGCACTTCTTATTCCCCACCCATCCTCCTTGAAGCGGTTTCATGGACAGCATATTTCCACGTTCGCATTGTGCCATTATTCCTCATCCTGTAGCTCCAACAAAGGCAGCCCTCTTTGCTTTCCCCTACAACTTACTGGCTCCAGAGCTCCAAGAGGTCGCAGGTCACAGAGGAATCCATCGAAACAGGAAAGGGAGCTTCCTCGGTCCAGCTTCAAACACTCAAAAACCTGTTTCCTCTCTCTGCCACAAATAAAATCCCCAACCGGGGATTCACTGCAGGTTCATTGTGAAAGCGGCAGCTTTGAGAAAGGGAAGCATCCAGAGTCTTCTATATATGAGAGAGTCACCGCAAAGTTCTCACATGCCAAGAGAATGAGGGTGGTATTCTTGCTGCTGAGCTTGCTGGCCTTGGGATGCAGCAGTGCAGAAATCGAAGCAACCAGTGCACCTGCGGTGGAGAGCGAAGCGGAGAGCAGCCACCTGGGCTTGACTTCACCTGAAACTCAGGACCTCAGAAACGTATTGGCAACCTCCCTGCCTCCTACTTCAGAGAAGCCGGATGCTTTGCTGAATGCAAGCCAAGAGGAAGGTGTAAAGCGCAGTTCTCCTCTAGCCACGAAAGAGGCACAGGAATTGCAAACTCCAGCACAGCAGAAGACACCCTTGGCCCTTACCGTAACTCCTAGCCCAGGGAATAACAGTGATGGCGGTTCTCCCAACGGGAAGCGATTCATCCTGCCTAGCAATGCAGGGGTTCCTCCACCATACCATCCTTGGAATCGCCTTCCTCCAAAGGAAGTTTCTAGGGAAAACCAAGGGACTATGGTGAGCAGGTCTTCCAGACACTCAGAAGATAGCAGCAAGCAGAATGCAGATCTCAAAAAGCCCAGCTTCGAAACCACCAGAGGAAAGTAAGCAGAACCGTTTAACTCTTCCCCCCCCTCCTCTTTGCTCATTGTACCTAGAGAACCCGACTCAACTCGTGGCATCCTGTGCAAGGCTCCTTCTAGTGCTAATTTGGCCTGAATTCCTGGGATAAAGGCCTGGAAGTGTCCTGTAAGGTCATAGCTAAAGAGGGTTGGCTTGCTCCAAATTGACAAAGTGCAGTGATGGGACGAGTGGCTGTGATCCTGCAAGTAGTTACACTGTTTAAATCCTGTTGATTTCATTGGGAGATAAAGCTGATCCACCTACGTGCAGGATTTCAGTGAGAGTCTGTAGTGCAAGGTATTGCAGTATTTAAAAAAAAACAAAAAATCAGAAATTTAGTAAAGGGGAAGAGGGGTTTAGGAATGTCCTGTCCTGTGCAGCACCTGGTAATTAACAAATGCTTTCTTGTTGCATTGGCAACATACAGAGAGAACACAGTGAGCCATTGTTTTGAGGACAAACCATGGTTTAGAATCCTAGATCCAAGTTACGGTGGCCAAGTTATGCACACATTAACCACACCCCTCACAAGCCCTGCTTGGCACTCTTGACTGTATTTGCCTGACCTGAATACATATTATTGCTTGCCTGAGTGGAGGACCTCTCCTCCTTGGGTATATGGGGTGTTCGGGGAGGGGTGGTAGGGATTGGGCACATGTTGTGCTCCTTCTGGATAATATGTCACTCAGCTCTCACCTGTGGCTCCCAGAAGCTGTCTGCATGCGACAACAGCCACACCCCAGGAATGGCTCCATTTGGCCGGCTAAACCAGGTGAAGATAGGCAATGGGTTTTGAATGCTCGGTGAGTTAGAGTTGAGAGCCAGTGTGGTGTAGTGGTTAAGAGTGGTAGATTCGTAATCTGGGGAACCGGGTTCGTGTCTCCGCTCCTCCACATACAGCTGCTGGGTGACCTTGGGCTAGTCACACTTCTCTGCAGTGTCTCAGCCTCACTCACCTCACAGAGTGTTTGTTGTGGGGGAGGAAGGGAAAGGAGCATGTTAGCCGCTTTGAGACTCCTTCAGGTAGTGATAAAGTGGGATATCAAATCCAAACTCCTCCTCTTCTTCTTCTTCTTCTTCTTCTTCTTCTTCTTCTTCTTCTTCTTCTTCCTCCCCTGCATGAGGAGACAGGCTCCAGCAGATTGAGTGGACAAGACCAATAGTGGGTCCAATGGTCAAGAAGGCGGTTTTTGTATGTGCTGAAGTGAGGGGCAGATGGGGCTTTTCACCCTGGGAAGGTAGCAGTCTAGGAGAAGGAAAACTCTGATCCTAAACCTCTGCTGCCTTGAGGGACATATTTGGGAGAAGTAACGGCTAAGGAGTAAACCCTACACAGATCTGGAGTGGAGTCCCTTAGACTTGCATCTCCTGGCAACTCCTGCAGCCAAGCTGGTGCCAAATGTATTTCTCTGCTTTCCTTTGGTTCACATTAGTGATGAGAGGGGGGTCTTGTCATCTGGGCAGCCCAGGACCTCCATACACATGGCTCAGGCTTGCACCCCAGAGAGGTCCCTTTGCTAACACCACGGTTTGACTTCACCCTCAGAGGCACCCTCCACTGTCTCTCAAGACAGATAGATGCCAGCAACCACTCTCTCCTCTAAGAAACTTAAGATATGATACACATGGCTGTCTATTTCTCTGTCTCCCAGCCTTTATCCTCACAGCAACCCTGAGAGGTAGATTATGTTGCGAGGTGGCGATTGGCCCAAAATCATGCAGTGAGCTTCATAGCTGAGTGGGGTGTTTGAACTGGTGAACAGCCCTAACCAGATGCTCTTATCTAGAATTAGACAGATGACATCATTACAACTCCCATCCTCCCCAAGCAGCACGGACAATGGTCAGGGATTCATGGGAGTTGGAGTCCAACAACAGCTGGAGGGCACCACATTGAATACCCTTGCTCTAACCACTACACCACACTCCTGGATGCTAATTCTAAGTTGTTTAAAAATCTGAGTCATTTAGCTGCTCTCAGGCCAGGGTTGCAATCCAACGAATGCTTCCTGGAGAGTACATTCTATCTGACCTAGTGGGAGCTACTTCGGACATGCATGGAACAGCTCCAAAGAAAGATGGATGCAACCCATTCTAATCACCCACTTTTTTATTTTCGGAACGCATTTGCCCGAAATACATGAATAATGACTATGTGGCGAAATTAAGCCATTTGTTCAGATGGTATGTGCAGGGACAATGCGTACAAATTATGAGAGCATTGAAATGCTTAGTGTTTCCCCCATGTGCATTTTTGCTGTTTTTGCCTGCTGAAATAATAGCATTATATTACAGAAATAAATTTAACACTATGAACCAGACCGGATATTAAAGGACTATAAGCCTGGAGATGAATCCAGCTTTGGAAAACATATTAAAATGTTCCGGAAAGCAGCAGAAGCCCACGGCTTGCACACTCCCATGTTTTGTAGAGACATGGTAGGCTCCATAGGGAAACAGATGCAATGCAGGGTGTTAAGCAGGAGTACACAGGACAAAAGATTTTGGTCACTGCAACTTCTTTAGGGGAAAGTGTGATTAATGAAGAAAGTGAGAAGAGTTCTTCCTCTCTCATAGCAGTAGAACTTGTGGACATCCTAAGGAGATGATTGTTAGGTGTGCAGGACAAATCAAAGAAAGAATTTATTCACAGAGTTAAACTATGGAACTGCCTGCCACAGGAGGCTGTGACGGCCATCAACTTGGATGGCTCTAAAAGAGGATTAGACAAAGTCTTGGAGGCCAAGGCTATTAAGAGCTACTAAAGGTAAAGGTAAAGGGACCCCTGACCATTAGGTCCAGTCGTGGCCGACTCTGGGGTTGCGACGCTCATCTCGCTTTATTGGCCGAGGGAGCCAGCGTACAGCTTCTGGTCATGTGGCCAGCATGACTAAGCCACTTCTGGCAAACCAGAGCAGCGCACGGAAACACCATTTAACTTCCCGCCGGAGCGTACCTATTTATCTACTTGCACTTTGACATGCTTTCAAACTGCTAGGTTGGCAGGAGCAGGGACCGAGCAATGGGAGCTCACCCCGTCGCGGGGATTCGAACCGCCGACCTTCTGATCGGCAAGTCCTAGGCTCTGTGGTTTAACCCACAGCGCCACCCGCATCCCTATTAAGAGCTACTAGCCATGATCTATCATGCTATTATCATGCCCTCCATCAGCTCTGCTGAAAAGCCACAAATATTTGACTTCTTTCCAAATATGTCCACTGCTGCTGCTGCTGCCTACAAGGCCTCTGTAACTATGAGTGAGAGATTGAGTTTGCGTTTTTCCTCCTCCCTCCCCAGTCCCTTTTCCTTTTGTGAGGGCAAGGACTTTCTCATTGATATTCAAAAGCTGCCCTGGGAGCCTTTTTGCTAGCTCTTTGCTCCTAGTTTAAGTATTCTGCTCCCCCTAAGCACAGAATAAATCAGTCTTCCCTCAAGCAGGTGCTTTCCAGCTCTTTTTGACTGCAACTGCCACAGTCCCAGTGAGCATGGTCATGTTGGATTGGGCTGATGGAAGTTGTAGTTCAAAACCTCTGGGAAGCACCAGGCTGCAATAAGACCCCTTGGACCTCTCAGGTGCAGTTACATTACAAACATTCCAGGTAATCTGACAGCCTTTCCTTCCGCCACCTTTTCATGTGCAGGGAGAAGGAGGTGCGATACAACCTGCCACAGATAAATCAGAGCTTTTTTTTTTTTAAAGGGATGTTAATTGCAGAAAACACACACCCGGTGGCTTACAAAACACACACAACCAAATCTAAGTACATGTTTCCCAAGCTTCCCTCATGTGGGGAAGATTACTAGGTATCATCGTGACATCGTGTGCTTGTTGAACAGTGTGGGAAACGTAGAGCCAAGAATCTAATTTGTCTCTCAAGACTCCTTTGACTGTGAAGGTGATGCTTAGCTATGAGATTATAATCACAGGGGGAGAAATATTTCTTTCTAATCTGGACCATCAATAGAAGCCTGGCAGTGGGTTGTGTTTGTTTTTTGTTTTGTTTTTGCCATCTTCCAAAGTGCTGCCGTTTAACATGAAAGCAGAGAACTCTTCTATCTGAAAGCTGCCAGAAGTGTTCCTACTTTTCTTCTTGCTTCACTTCCAGCACCAAATTGCAGACTTTAAGAACTTTTCTGCATGCACGCTTCCATTCACACAAGGTATCCTAATGCTAGTGAAGGCAAGGTCTTTTGTTCCAAACTCCTCGACTCTAGCAATGCCGCACACCTGCTTGATGTGCTTTGCAGAAGACGCACCTGCCTCATCCAGCGCCATTTGCATAACGAATACCTCACAGATGAGAAATTTAATGAACACTCCAAAAAAAAAAACCCCGATGTGAAGAAAGGCCTGTGATAAAGGTTTTTAGAAAAGGAAATGCGTCAAGGTGCATCCTTATCTCTGAGAAGTAGCTTCTTACGTTGCCACCTGTTGGAAGATGAGAGCAATTTTTCATGCTAAGGAGCTCAAATTGTGCATGTTCTCCTGGTTAGGAGTCGCACACCTTAGAGCAAAAAGTTCCATCATCCTCTTTAATAATAATAATTTTATTACCTGTCCTTCGCCAACAGGTCCCAGAACCAAGTTACAAGAAGTTAAAGTTCAGTATTAAAATCAGTTAAAACAAATTGCAGTTACAAGGGGCTAGGGAGGGTCCTTTTAGAACTTTATTGTCTCAAAAAGTGAGCATGCAAGAGGGGAGGGCCAAAGGTTCAGGAAGCCCCCTCCTCATCTGCCTCCACACATCATTGCCTGTTTCGTGGTTCTGTCACTAGCGATGGGCAAATCATCAACTTTGGCTTCTCCTAGCTTCACATTTAAGATCAGTGCATCCTATTTCTCCATCTGTTTGTGATTTTTTAAATAAAAAAAACAACTCATTAGAAATTTGTTAGGATCTTAGGGTACATTTCCCCTCTAATGCACACATTTTGGTAGGCATTTTTTTTTTACAAGCAATTCCCCCTAATATGGAACATTTGGGGATGTTATTTTCACTTAACCTATGCATTTTAACGCAAGCTTTCCCCAAATATACAGATTTGTGTATACTTCTTTTTGTGTTCGGGAACCACCCTGTAAATTTTTGAGAAATGCAGATTTTGCAGGATAATGGCATTTCTGTCCACATATTGTAATGGGAAGTGCAAACCGGGTAGGTCTGCATTAGAGTGCAAGCTGAACTGAATTTCTCCCCTTTCCTTACTTGACGCAGGAACACAGGAAGCCACCTTCTATTAAGTCTGACAATTGATCTTTCCAGCTCAGTTTTGCCTACACTGACTGGCAGTGCTCCCTTGGATTTCAGACTGGGGTCTCTCCCAGCCCTACCATGAGTTGCCAAGGATTGAAACGGGGACCTTCTGCATGCAAAGCAGAAGCTGTGCCACAGAGCTATGGATCTGCCCCTAATAATAACTCCAGAGTGCCAAGGCGAATAACCCTTTCTCTTGCTTGGCTCCAAGGCAGCATCATGCCTTGATAGCTGAAGCCAAATCAGAGTGACGGTAATGCATCGTACTCCGGCTCTGGAATCTTGAACAGGTGAAGAAGTCTTCTAAGTTCATAACTGGCTGGTTTTAGACCCTCTGCTATAACAATAACAATAACAATAACAATAACAATAACAATAACAATAACAATAACAATAACAATAACAATAACAATAATTTATTATTTATACCCCGCCCATCTGGCTGAGTTTCCCCAGCCACTCTGGGCGGCTCCCAATCAAGTGTTAAAAACAGTACAGCGTTAAATATTAAAAACTTCCCTGAACAGGAATTGCCAGATTAACTCCCCTTGATCTTGCAAGCCTGAGAATGGGCTGGAAAAGAGAAGCGGGTGCCCTTATGACCTGCTCTTTCTGTAATTTGTGGTCCTTATGGTTTCTGTGTTTCATATAAGTGCAAAATTGTAATTTGATTTCCTCTCACCCTCATAATCAAGCAGTAAATTGTTGTAAACTGCTCTGTGGTCCTCGAATGAAAGAACGTACGTATATTTAACCAACAAATACAATTGTATAAAGTAAATCACTAACTAGACATTGTACCCTATCCTAAGATCATTACGATGAAGGGTATTTAAAAAATAAATATCGAGTAAATAAACACATTTATTAGCTCAAAACCTGCATGCCAATTCACTGTCTCAAAGCTTCTGCCTTAAACGCCCTTCATGTGTGCGCACTTGTCTCGAAAACAGCAGTGGTTCACTCCCACATTAAATTTAGCAGTAAAGTAATTCCCTGTTGCACTGTTTACATAGTGGGTTCAGTTTGGCTCAAACCACTGCTGTTCCTCTATTTTTACGAGCCTGTCAATGCTGAAACCTACAATCACTCGCTCCCACCCAGCTTCAGAGTCGCCCTGTGAATGGCTCCATGGCAGTGCCAGGTGGCTGCTATATTAAATTTCTACAATCCAATACAAAATGAAAGGAAAGCACTGGGTGACTTTGCCAGGGCTGTAAGAGCATCGCTTGCCTTGTCCTGACTCCATCAACCCTCCCCTGTCCACACTTGCATCAGGAAAACAATACAAGGGTGGCACCCATCGGAGTTGATCGGCCAGTGCAAAGACTTTTGGCTGTGCAGTCCAACCTTCTTTTGTTCTCCTCTCCCCTTGCAACCTCTAAATCTGTTCTTGGTTTTCCCCAGTCCTCTGAGTAGCTTTGGAGAGGGCATTGGGGGTACATGGGGAGGGGAGAGGGAGGAGAAGTTTCATTGCACAAGTGGAAATCCTTGCACTATCTGATTTGTTGCCTACCACCCTATGTCTGTCGCATCAACAGCAAAGTATTATGGAGACCCAGTAAATACTCAGAGTCCCACTGTTGAGGCTGGGTCCTGCAAGGGGATCTGCTGCCTCCAGCTCTATTGCCATAGTTGCTCCAGAGGTGATGGAAACAGTAAGAGCATCTTCACACAAACCTTAGTAAAAGAGGTACCCCTAAGAATCTTGTTCTTTGGGGCTAGACCGAGTCCAATACAGGACTCCAGAAATGGCTTGAAAGCAGTAAAGAGATTTGATAGCTAAGCACTGATACTTCAGGCATCAAGAGCAATACCCATTGCTTGGAGATCAAGCAAGAGAGTCCTGTTGAACTCATGCTCTGCTTGCGGGCTGCCAATAGGCATCTGGTTGGCTCGTGTGAAAACCTGATACTTGGCTAGACAAATCTTTGTCTAGCAGGGCTCTTCTGGAACCAAATGTCAATTTTAGCAATCAAGGGGATGGAACAACTATCCTCTGATGAAAGGCAACAGCATTTGGGGGCTTTTCAATCTTGAAAGCAGATGGGTTATGGGAGATTTGATAAAAAGTATATAAAATTATGTACAGTGTGGGAAAAGTGGACAGAGAGAAGCTCAAAAGACTAGACCCTTGTGTCACCCACCCAAGTGGATTTCATGCTCTTTATTCAGCTCATAGTGGTGAGGAGGAATGGAAGTTCCCCAAAAATGTCTGCCTTATATACATTATTTACACAATGGGCCCCACGTGATTGGCTAATTCCAGGATTCTCCTGTAGGCCAATCAGGTTGCGGATTCCCTTCCACCTGGAGCTGGATTGGGTGCCTCCTGTGGACCAATCAGACTGCTGCATTCTGGATCCTATTGTTCTAGGACCAATCAGACTGCTGCCTTTTGGATCCTATTCAACTCAGTACATAACACCAAGGAAGCTGAATTTTAGAACATTCAAGACAGGTGAAAGAAATTTCTTCTTGCAAAGGCAGGTCTAGGGGAGCACAACCAGTGTGGTCACACTGGGTGCAGAGCTTCTTGGGCGCTACAGGGGGCGGATTTTGGTGTCACACAGAGTACCACGGAAATTTGAGACCCCCGAGGTCTCCGAGGTCCCCACTGCTTGAGCAAAAGATGGCTACTGTGCTCATGTCCAGCTTGAAGGCTTCCAAGAGGCCTCAGGCTGGCCACTGTGAGGGCAAAATGCTGGACTAGGTGGGCCTTTGGCCTGATGCAGCAGGACTCTTGTGTTTTTGTCATGAGGTGGAAAATGTCGCCCTGGGTGGTAAAGTAACCACAATTTAAAAATAAAATAAAATAAAATGACAGCATCCTGGATACATGAAGCAGATGATTCACCGTCCAAACATTATAGCTGCTGCATGGACAAAGGGAACAAGTGATGAGAGAAAAGAAGCGTTTGCCACAATGTAGTACAAAGTGTCAAGGCCTCAAATCCTGCAGAAAACACATGTTATTTCCTTTCCATGTTATTAGTTATGTAGTACAACCTGTTCTGGAGCAGAAAAGCACATTCTTGGCAGGGGACCCTGTGAGGCGACTCATACCTGAAACCTTTAACCACTGCTTATGGTTTGGCCTGGTATTCCCAATCTGCCTCATACAGTGGTACCTTGGCTTACATACGCTTCAGGTTACATACGCTTCAGGTTACACACTCCGCTAACCCAGAAATAGTGCTTCAGGTTAAGAACTTTGCTTCAGGATAAGAACAGAAATCGGGCTCCGGTGGCGCAGCAGCAGCAGGAGGAGGCCCCATTAGCTAAAGTGGTGCTTCAGGTTAAGAACAGTTTCAGGTTAAGTACGGACCTCCGGAACGAATTAAGTACTTAACCTGAGGTACCACTGTACTGGGTCCGTCAGATATGAGGGATAGATGGGTTTGGTTCTCTAAGCAACATTTAAAGAAATAAAGGCCATTTAAGTTATTATTATTTTTTGCTGGATGCTACAGAGGTCCAGTTGCGAATTGTTATGCCTGTTCTGAGGTGTTCTCAATGTGAGATCTTCCAGATGAGACCTGCTAGATTTTTATTGTGTTAATAAAGTCCAACTGACCCCAACCAGAAACCAGGCATTTAATGTCACCGGTCCTATGCTGCTACCCTCGCTTTTACTTTCTGTTGATGACTTTTCATATATTTTTAAAAGCCAGCAGGCCTAAAAAATATATTATTGAGTGGCTGGTCTTTTAGTGGTGGTCCTGTGTTGCTTTTAAAGGGTATTGTCTATGCCGCTGTACCCCCTCCCTAATGTTTTGTGATAGGGCAGTATTTAAATACTTCTACAAAGAAATACATAGCAGAAACTGCACCCCTTGTCCACATGGTGTGGAGATGCCCAGTTGAAAGCCCCTTTTGAGTTAGTTTTGGAAACCACACTACATTTCAAAAGCATGTAAGGTTTTGTTATAAAGGTAAGCTAAAGGTAAAGGACCCCTGGACAGTTAAGTCCAGTCAAAGGCAACTATGGGGTTGCGGCACTCATTTCGCTTTCAGGCTGAGGGAGCTGGCGTTTGTCCACAGACAGCTTTCTGGGTGATGTGGCCAGCAGGACTAAACCGCTTCTGGCGCAATGGAACACCGTGACAGAAACCAGAGAGAATGGAAATGCCATTTACCTTCCCGCCGCAACAGTACCTATTTATCTACTTGCACAGGTGTGCTTTTGAACTGCTAGGTCGGCAGGAACTGGGACAGAGCAATGGGAGCTCTCCCCGTTGCAGGGTTTCAAAGCGCCCACTTTCTGATCGGCAAGCCCAAGAGGCTCAGTGGTTTAGACCACAGCTCCACCCGCGTCAACAACAACAACAAACATATTGTTATTATGCCCTCATCTGAATGGGTTGCCCCAGCCACCTGGGCAGCTTCCAGCAAATTAAAACATCAAACACTGTTTATTTACATCGCCCACTATTTGGAATTAGCCTCTGAATCATGGGCTATGGGCATAAGGAAGAGAGGCTCTCAGCCGTGTTGTATTTTCCATAGGCTCATCTTATGCTCAGTATCATCAGCATGGTAACCCTTTGGCATGTGCTTTGAATGGACATCAGGCAGGCATATACCATATTGGCATTTAGGCACCTGATTAAAACTCAGGCTTTCCCCTGAGAGGTGATCTGTTTATGTCTGATGTTCTCAATGGATCTGCTGCTTTGTGATAATATTCTTGACGTGTTCTCTGAATGCAATGTTATTGCTGATCTTACATTTTCATGGCTGTGATATTTTTTGATGGTACAGGGTTTTTTATTTTATTTTGCAAATAACTAAATAAATACAGTGGTACCTCTGGTTGTGAACAGGATCCATTCCGGAGCCCCGTTTGCAACCTGAAAGGAACGCAACCCGCGTCTGCACACATGCAGGTCGCCATTTGCCGCTTCTGCGCATGCATGTGACATCATTTTGTGCGTCCGTGCATGCGCGAGCGGCGAAACCCAGAAGTAACCCTTTCCGGTGCTTCCGGGTCACCGCAGGACGCAACCTGAAAAGACTTAACCTGAAGCAAATGTAACAAGAGGTATGACTGTAACAGGGATTCCCCAGCAAGGCTTGCCTTGCTTTTATCGCGATGCACTGTTGAAAAAGTCATCTCAATTCAGAATTGCTTCAAAGAAAAGAAGCTTCAGTTTTAAAAGGGGGGGGGAGGGGAATCCTCCTATGTAGCAAGTGCAAGTCTTCCTCATGATCACTTTGCAAAGGAGTCCTTGCCTGACACAGTTGCTTTGGCATAAAACAGACACCAAAGACTGCTCCAAATGTTACGACTGTTGGAAGATCTCTTTTCCATGGCAACCTTCCACATGGAAGCAGAACCTTCTATACACACTTCTTAACCCATGTGATTCCTAAGGAGAGGGCACCAGGACTCCACAGAAAGTGTGATGCTCCTGAGTCAAGCGCTGTGATTTGCTGGACAAGCCCACAGTAAGAAACTTTTATACGTTGCTGCTTCTGCGTAATGCGCTGGCAGAGGGACAAGCTTTCCCTCTGTTTGAAACAGAGCTGAACCAAAGTAGGAATGGATGCATATCATTATTAGTTTTCATGTTATTACATTTCTATCCCACCTTTCCTCAAAGTGGCGTACATGGTTTTCTCTCCACTCTCCATTTTATCCTCACACCAACCCTGTGAGGTCACACTGAGAGATGGCCACTGGCCCAAGGTCAGCTAATGAGCTTCATGGCTGAGCAGGGATTTGAACTCTAGTCTCCAAGGTCCTAGTCTGACACTCTAACCACTACACCACACTGCCATCTGTCCATTTCTGTTTGTGGACCCACACAAAGTCAGACGTGGGTGCAATAACTGACAGGTGATGGCTTAAACATGACCACAACATTATTATGTTGCAGAACAGTCAGTTGTGGCGTCGTTCTGACGGTTGATGTTGCTTTAGCGCTGAGGGCTGGCCTCGTGGCCCCAGCAAGGGGGCATGCGCCTGCCCCAGACACATGGCGCATCAAACAGTGGCAAAGCCTGGCTACATTTTCTAATGGATCAAGGGTAAGGAGCCTGCAGCCTGGGGAGCAAATCCAGCCCCGGCTCTGCTTTGCATGTTTTTGGGTGATGGGAGCTGTCTTTGAACTCCAATCCAGAGAGGTGTTTGAGAGCATTTGCGTAGAAAGTAGCCTACCTTTTGTGTAAAGGTAAAAGTTTCATGGGTGAGACATGGGTGGGGCTGTGGGTTAAAGCACAGAGACTAGGACTTGCCAATCAGAAGGTTGGCAGTTCGAATCCCTGGGACGGGGTGAGCTCTCGTTGCTTGGTCCCTGCTCCTGCCAACCTAGCAGTTCGAAAGCACGTCAAAGTGCAAGTAGATAAATAGGTACCGCTCCGGCGAGAAGGTAAACAGCGTTTCCGTGCACTGCTCTGGTTCGCCAGAAGCGGCTTAGTCATGCCGGCCACATGACCTGGAAGCTGTACACCGGCTCCCTCAGCCAATAAAGCGAGATGAGCACCGCAACCCCAAAGTCAGTCACGACTGGACGTAATGGTCAGGGGTCCCTTTACCTTTACCTTTAAAAGTTTCATAATTGGCTCCAAACACTTTTGCCTCCAACCCTGTCCACCCTTGTGGCCCTTGGGAAGTTGCACAGAAAGGAATGCAGCCTTGGATTGGAAAAAGTTTCCCTGCCCCTGTGATAGGCGATGGGGGCATCCCCCCCCCCAGTGCAGCCCTCCCCACAGCGACTTTCATCGGTGATGTTTGTTCACTACTTAGAGAAAGAATTCTCTCTGAGCTGTGTGAACAATAAAATTGCATAAGACAGTATAATGTATATAAAAAAACCCAGTGCATTAAAACAGCTCAGCAATTAAATTCAAGGCAAACACACATCCAGAGCACAGCAGGAGACAAACGGCGCATGCATTGCTTATCCATTAAAAACTGTGCTTTCCTCCCACATCTCTGCTGCTGTTCAGACAGCAAGTTCAGCCGCCCCATCACACACTATTAATTTATCACTGTGCTTAGCATGCCATTAGGTCTTCCGCAGCTGCAGGGATTACAGGACCTGGTTTGTTTGTCGCTTGTTAGCTTTTTTTGGAAATTTGCCTGTGTTTGCATGACATGCAATATCAATTGCATGCAGGGAAGAAATCTGGGGGTTATTGCATCGCACCACTGTAAACATGACTTTGGTGTTTCTCCTGCTAAGAACATAAGAAGAGTCTGCAGGATCAGGCCAGTGGCCTATCTAGTCCAGCATCCTATTCTCACCCATCCTGAGGTTTCCAGCAACTGGTATTCAGAAGCATACAGAGTCTAATATAGTGGAGGTACTATTAACTGCGTTCCAAAGCTGTGCGAACAGAGAACTCAAAAGGAGAAATAGCTCTATAAGACACTACTATGACACCATAATTCAACTTCCTATTGTTATTAATATTATTATTATTGAATATAAAATTATAGAATTAAATACAGAATTAAAATATAAGAACTTTTTTTTTTTTTTTGCAAAGCCTAATATAAGAATATTGAGAGACTGATATGATTGTGTGTTAGGGAAGGTTGCCATCTGCTGGGTAATTTTAGGAACACATGAACCATGAGTCATCATAGAATTGTAGAGTCGGAAGGGACCCTGAGGATCATCTAGTCCAACTCCCTGCAATGCAGGAATATACAGCTGTCCCATATGGGGATTGAACTTGCAACCTTGGCATTATCAGCACCACACTCTAACCAACTGAGCTACTGCTGTGATAGGAATTTTGAGGTCTTGGACATATGTTAAATGTTCATAAGTGTACCAACCAAGCACGTACATAGATCAGCACAGGAAGACTGACCTGAAACCATTTTGATTCCCAAACTGAGCAAATTTTTTTCTCCGCAAGGTCAAAGGAAAATGGAAAAGCCTCCCCATTGTCTTTTCCTTCACAAATCCTGTCTTAAGATATGAATAGCGTGTGAAGCTGTGACCTGGCTCAGGAACTAAGTATTTATCATTACAAAAGACTGGCCAGGCTCGCGAAGCTTTCCCCACCACTTACCTCACCTGCATGCTAGAAAAAGACGAGCCTGATAACTTTTAAAAGATGCTCCGAAAGTGCTCAGAGCCTTTGACACCTGAGCTGTATATTTTCAGAACCCATCCCGTATTTTGTGGTTGCATTCTCTGTAATTTGGAAACTTTAAAAGCTGTTTTAATGATGTGTTTTAAGTTGCTGTGACTCATTCTCTGGCCTTAGGGTGGGTAATAAATTTAAAGGAGGAGGAGGAGAAAGAATATCAACAATAGTATCAGCAACTAGTGCAAATTCATAAAGGGAGCTTCAACACACATTATTAATAAGTGGGTAGTCATAAGGAATTGCTGAGAGAAAGTAGGGGGAAGTGCTGTTTTTGCTTCTGCCCCCCCCCCCCCATTTCCAATACAATGAATTGATTGTTGGGGGTGGGATCAGGGAAAATTTAATCTGAAGTGAAACTGGGCAAAAACCACCCCGTTTAGCAGGGTCACTTGTCTCCTGCAAAAATGAGGGGGGTTTCAGAGGCCCTCATGTTATATGGCTGTGGGTGGGTTTCTGTTGTGTTTTACCATGATGGATATGAGTTGATAGAGGGTAGGGCTGGGCAAATACATCACTCTTGGGCCGGATCTACACAGATATAAAAAACGCTATGGAAATGCTATGGAAGAAAACTTGAGATTATATATATATATATATATATATATATATATATATATATATATGCAATTAGCCATTGAGCTTTACACCGCCATCTGGTGTCACATTTTTGTAATGCACTTATAATGTTATAATTGCAGCTGTGTAGCTGACTCCCTATTTTTTCTCTCATTTTCGAAGTCTTAAATCCAGTTCTTCTTTGCGTTGTTTTTTTTTAAATTTAAAAATTCCTCATGAAAATTAATCGGCATCTGAATGCATCAATGGTTATCTTTTCCTAAGATACACATTTTCTATGCAATTTTTGTGTCTATATGCAATTTTTTTGCACACTTTACCACATTGTATGGCTCCTGGCCAACCCAATCTCTGCCAAGCAGTGCACGAGATTCTAAGGTGTCTTGGAATTCAACCAGGGTCTGTGTTCTGTTGGGGGAAATGAGGTGCGGTGGAGTCTGCGGTGTCTTTGAAATACGATTTATTTACACATATTTATACTGGAAGCTTTCAATGAAGAGAGAGTTCACAGCATTCACATCTCAGGAGCAGCCCATCCTTCACAGCAGCACAGCACTGGATTCTCAGACATCTCCATGCTTCTTTCCCAACCTGCCAAGATGGTTCTGGCCTTCACAGCAGCTCACAGAGTCCTTCTTCCCCAACCTCTAAATTTCACATCACACACCCGCCTCCTTGGCAACCTCGCCCCTCGCCAGCAGAGCCTCCTGCCTGGTTGATGGCTTCCACTGATGAATTAATGACTTTCTCCCCTCACCTTTTGTCACTTTTAAAGACTTCTATCCCAGACCTTGGCCTGGAAAAGTAGCTTAGCCTGACATTGTCCCTCCCATACTCCAAATATTACCTGAATCCTAAAGGTAAAGGGACCCCTGACCATTAGGTCCAGTCGTGGCCGACTCTGGGGTTGCGGTGCTCAACTCGCTTTACTGGCCGAGGAAGCCGGAGTACAGCTTCTGGGTCATGTGGCCAGCATGACTAAGCCGCTTCTGGAGAACCAGAACAGCACACGGAAACACTGTTTACCTTCCCGCCGGAGTGGTACCTATTGATCTACTTGCACTTTCGAATTGCTAGGTTGGCAGGAGCAGGGACCGAGCAACGGGAGCTCACCCCTTCGCGGGGATTCGAACCGCCGACCTTCTGATTGGCAAGCCCTAGGCTCTGTGGTTTAACCCACAGTGCCACCTGTGTCCCTCTGCCTGAATCCTACCCTTCCTTAATTTCTAACATTACCTAACATTCTAACCCTTGCACCCCCAAACTCTGCTACATCAGACCTGAAAAAATGTGCATTGTTTGCTTGAAGAATTGCATTGCGAAATTGGAAGAAGTGTGGATTTTGAAGGAAGGCTGTGTTTCTTATTCATGTTGTTTTGGAAAGTTTGGATTAGGTAGGCTCCCCTTCAGACCTGCAAGCTGGAAAGAGTCGGGCTTTTCTTCCCTCACAGGTATAGGCAGGAATTCAAGGCATTTGCTCTTGGCAAGAACAATGCTACTATTACTGATAAATCTGGTGAAAGATGTTCTCATTTCGCATTAATAAAACTTCACATGACTGGCACAGTGGAGGGGAGATGGAGAAATTGGGGGCGTCCAGCCAGACTCAGCCAGGGTGGTCCAGGGACGCTGCTGGGATGCAGGCTGAGATCGATGGCTCCAAAACACACCAGCTTGTACCCAGTTAGGGCCTGTGCTGCCAACTGCACCATATGTACAGAAGGTAGAAAAGTCTAGCCAACCCCTTAAGCCAGCAGACAACACTCCCTTTGGATTCTAGCACCACAGCCCGCCCTCCTAATATTCTTTTGCTAATGAGCATTCAGATTATCTCATTTCCCCCCTATCCTTGCAAGCTTGCTTTTAAAAAGAAAGGATATGGGTTGTTGGTTCTTCCCCCCCTCCTTCATCACCTTGCTTTCCCAAATGATCATTGTTATGAATGATCAAGGCTGGCTCCACGGGGCGATTTGGTCAAGGCATTTGCCAAGGCCCCAAGGCAGCTGCTCCAAAACGCATCAGTGTCAGCATGTAATCGATGAGTTATGCCTGCCTTGCCAACTCTGGCATATGCACGGAAGTCTGGCCAATGCAAAGGACCCATCATCAGGACACCGTCATCCGTTTTTACTTTGTACCCAGGAAGATCGGAGGCAGCCTCTTCCAGCCGTGTGGGGTTCATAGGCAGTGTGTTAGGCTTGAACTGGGGAGAACCTGGGTCCAAATCTCCGGTTGGCTGTCAGGCTCGCAGGGGACTCTGAGGCTGTGTGTCAGCCTGACCTACCTCACAGGACTGTTGTGAGGACAAAGTTGTGGTGGCGGCGAAACAATGTTTAATGCCCAAAACTCCTTAGAGGAAGCGTTATGGTTAAAGCAGGCATGTGGAAACCTCAAACAAAAGGCTTCAAAGTTCATTTGAAAATGTGTTTTCTTGAGAGAGAAGACATTTGGAAAAGTTATTTTGTAAGAAAATATGTTTGAATATACACATTTAAATGTGCGTTTAAATGCACGTTTTCATACAAAGTTTTTTTTTTTTAAGAATTCAGATAAATGTGGAAACAGGATGAAATAGTGAACAGAGTTAAAAGTGTTAGATAGATGATTCACTCATTCCAAGCCTGATCCAGCAAAATAATAATAATAATAATTTTAAAATTGCCATATGCTTTTTTCCTTTTCCTTTTCTAACTCCAAGGGAGAGATATTTACCTCCCTCCCTTCCCAGCTAAACACATGGAAAGTGTGTGTGTGTGTGTGTGTGTGTGTGTGTGTGCATCTTATCTGCTGCAATGTTAGAACTTTCTCTGAAATGCAACCCCAGTGGTGTGATATTCATAATATTGATGATAATGATGATGAAGACGATGATAATAACAACAATGGTAAATTATTATAGCACATTTTTATTTCACTTAAATTGCTTCTTCCTGACAACGCCAGAAGGAAAAAAGGAGCGAAAGGGACAGGGGAAAAGAAAATTACCGTCAAATCACATCTATAGGTTTACTGCAGGGAAAAGACCCAAACAAAGCTTCATACAGAAATATTGATTTTTATATACATGCATACCAATTAAAAAGAATTATTGCCCTGCTGCAGATCCCCTGGAGCCCCCACAAAGAATGGAAAAAGAAACATTAAAGGGACTAAAGGGGAAATGCCTTGGCTCTGAAAACCATTACTCAATAGCTGAAGAGCGACCTTGTCAGAAAGTGAAAGCACAGCAGTATCCTTGCATTCCAGGGACAAACCCAGGTCGGGGTGGACTTTAGTCTTTCAAATTTGAGGGACCTCCTATGCAAGGCTGAAGTTCAGCACCCTCTCACCTTTCGTTCTGCTCAATTTATTCTGTCCTTGTTGAGAAGCCCTGCAGTGCCCCCTAGGCCTAGCACCCAGGTCGCGCTGCCCGAAATCTGCCTTCGCTCTGGTGGCGACTTCGAATGGGGTCTTGGAGGAGTTTGGATTTGATATCCCGCTTTATCACTACCCGAAGGAGTCTCAAAGCGGCTAACATTCTCCTTTCCCTTCCTCCCCCACAACAAACACTCTGTGAGGTGAGTGGGGCCGAGAAACCTCAGAGAAGTGTGACTAGCCCAAGGTCACCCAGCAGCTGCATGTGGAGGAGCGGGGAAGCGAACCCGGTTCACCAGATTACCAGTCCACCGCTTTTAACCACTACACCACACTGGCACCTCCAACTCCTTCCATCTGCATATTGTCACCAGAGTCATCACAGGTTGTTCCGAGAGAAGGCCAAGCTCTCCAGGCACCTTCCTATGCCTGCCCCATCGCTGCAGTGTGATGTATCACATTAAAAGGAAGGGAGAAGCGTCGCCAACAAGGAGACAGATTTGCGTAAAATTATGCAAACTGCTTATCTAGATATCCAGATGCAAATTTGGAAAAAAATTATAGAATTTAACTAGAAATGCAATTCATCTTCCCACACAGTGACCAGGTATCCTCATGCCCACCTAGTTTGCCCAGGTGATAACTGTTGATGGGCAACTTCAAGTCTCCTTTGACTTTCCCTTTGTTTGGTTCTTTTATCCAAACCTTCAAATAGAGGACTGCCCTCTGTAAACAAGGACACACATCTTCCCTCAGCAAACAGCTGCATCCAGGGTGGAGCCACTGGGAGGATTGTTGACCTCCCTCGTTTAATTATCCCTATTTTGTAGGTGGAATTCAGAGCACAGTGAGGACCAGCAACTTGTCCATGACACTCATGGCATATGTAGCAACAGACAGTCACAGCATGGAGTTCCCCCAATTCCCATTTATCTTTTTTTATGATATCAATTGTGTACAATTTTGCTTTCCCTCCCTCCTATTTACGCAGGAACTGGTGTGCCTACGTTCACACAAGACTCCAGCCCACCATCGTGGTTGACAACATAGAAACGTATGCATCGGGCAGAGCCAAGCCATGCACCTGGATTGCAGGATCCTGCGGATCAAGGTATAGCTGTCTTCCACCCTACCCGTCCCAATGGATGCCGGTTTTTATAAGCTTGCAAAGTGATGAATTGGAGGAGTGGTCCATTGCAGCACACAGGTAGCTGCTATCAGGTAGAAAGTGATTGGCCCAAGGTCATCCAGCTGAACTTCACGGCTCATGACGGATGAGAACCCGTGTATCCCTCACCAACATTCAATGTACGAACTTCCACACAATCCTTTGCCAGCTAATTGTTGTGTGGCTTTCAGCTGATCCTAATAAAATGGGTATTTTGCCATGTAACAACTTGAGAAGGGGCCTGCTGGATCATAGAACTGTAAAGTTGGAAGGGACCCTGAGCATCTAGTCCAATCCCCTGCAATGCAGTTATCCCATACAGGGATCGAACCCGCAACATTGGCATTTTCAACACCATGCTCTAACCAGCCAAAGGCCATTGAGTCCAACATAGTATTTTCATGATGGCCAACCAGATGCTTATAGGACTTGAGCGGGAAAGCCCTTTCCCCTCTTGTAATTCCAGCAGCTAGAATTCAGATGCTTCTCTCTCTCTCTCTCTCTCTCTCTCACACACACACACACACACAGAGAGAGAGAGAGAGAGAGAGAGAGATCAGCACAGCTGCCTACAGACTCTCTGTGTGAGCATGACTCCATGATGAATTCCTTGTGCATTTCAAAACTTACTACTGCACCACTGGTGAATTTCCCCCTGTACCTTACAAACCTGTTCCAAACACTCACCATTTCCCACTAGGTGGCAGGTTTGCATATACCTAAGAAACAACAGAGGCATCGAAGCAATTTAAAATCCAGACCATCTCCTCTCATAAAACTCATACCCTTTTTTTCAATTTTCAAGTCTCTCTTGCTCAATCTGAGATATTCTCTGACCAAGAATGAGAAGAGAGAGGGAGAGGGAGAAGGAGAGAGAGAGATTGATTCCAGAGCCATTCTGTATTTCAACTGGGCATGGATTTGTGTCTCAGAATCTTTTCTTCTTTGAGTCAAGTCAGGCTATAGTATTAGTTTTAGCTCAGATTTTAACTTAAAGAGCTGAGTACAGTATAACAGATTTACAACCCAAGGCAATCTGAACAGTTTATTTATCCTTGCAGAGCAATATATATGTGAAAGGGACTTTAAGGCATGATGAGGAAAAACCTTTGAAATACTCAGCTGGCAATCGACTTATCCTTACAATGGCATAGTACATTCACGTAATTTTGCTTACTCATTAGCACATGGTAGTCAGGAGTTTCTCAACAGGAGTTTCAGCATCAAAACCAACACTCAGTTCAAGCATAGCGGTGGGGTTATTTCTTACATCCGAATGCAGGAACGACCACATCTAAGAAGGACCTGGTAGATGAAGGGAACGCAGTGGATGTAGCCTACCTTGATTTCAGCAAGGCATTTGACAAGGTGCCTCATGATATTCTTGTAAAGAAGCTGGTAAAATGTGGTCTTGACTATGCTACCACTCAGTGGATTTGTAACTGGCTGACTGACCGAACCCAAAGGGTGCTCATCAATGGTTCCTCTTCATCCTGGAGAAGAGTGACTAGTGGGGTGCCACAGGGTTCTGTCTTGGGCCCGGTCTTATTCAACATCTTTATCAATGACTTGGATGATGGACTCAAGGGCATCCTGATCAAATTTGCAGATGACACCAAATTGGGAGGGGTGGCTAACACCCCAGAGGACAGGATCACACTTCAAAACGACCTTGACAGATTAGAGAACTGGGCCAAAACAAACAAGATGAATTTTAACAGGGAGAAATGTAAAGTATTGCACTTGGGCAAAAAAATGAGAGGCACAAATACAAGATGGGGACACCTGGCTTGAGAGCAGTACATGTGAAAAGGATCTAGGAGTCTTGGTTGACCACAAACTTGACATGAGCCAACAGTGTGACGCGGCAGCTAAAAAGCCAATGCAATTCTGGGCTGCATCAATAGGAGTATAGCATCTAGATCAAGGGAAGTAATAGTGCCACTGTATTCTGCTCTGGTCAGACCTCACCTGGAGTACTGTGTCCAGTTCTGGGCACCACAGTTCAAGAAGGACATTGACAAACTGGAATGTGTCCAGAGGAGGGCAACCAAAATGGTCAAAGGCCTGGAAACGATGCCTTATGAGGAACGGCTAAGGGAGCTGGGCATGTTTAGCCTGGAGAAGAGGAGGTTAAGGGGTGATATGATAGCCATGTTCAAATATATAAAAGGATGTCACATAGAGGAGGGAGAAAGGTTGTTTTCTGCTGCTCCAGAGAAGCGGACACGGAGCAATGGATCCAAACTACAAGAAAGAAGATTCCACCTAAACATTAGGAAGAACTTCCTGACAGTAAGAGCTGTTCGACAGTGGAATTTGCTGCCAAGGAGTGTGGTGGAGTCTCCTTCTTTGGAGGTCTTTAAGCAGAGGCTTGACAACCATATGTCAGGAGTGCTCTGATGGTGTTTCCTGCTTGGCAGGGGGTTGGACTCGATGGCCCTTGTGGTCTCTTCCAACTCTATGATTCTATGATTCTATGATTCTATGACCCTCTTTGCACATTATGCTTTGTTCTGCTTATGTTTTTAGGTAATGTGTGAATTAGACTGGACTTTCCTTCACTGGAGGCTTTTAAACAGATGGCCATGTGACTGGGATTCTTTAGCTGTGATTCCTGCATTCAGGGAGCTGGACTAGATTTCTCTTGGAGTCCCTTCCAACTCTACAATTCCATGATTCTATGAGATGTACATGTGTTTATATCATAAAGATCAGGGCTTTTTTCCAGGCAAGTGTTTCATCAATAAGGGAAAGGGAAGCCCCAATCCAACAGGGCTTATGTGGGAGAGCAGCAGCAGCAGCAAGTGAGCCTTCCAGGTCCTGTTACTTTGCCCATGTGAAGACTTTCTTGCCAGCCCAGTGGCCTCCCAGTCATCACTATGAAACCCCACCTTCTTCCACAGAAGCCACATTGTAATAATACCTCTGTGACTCACCTTCCACACATATGTCCCTATTACAGACATATCCTTAGAAACAGCCAAAATAATTTACAAACAGTACAAGCGCAACTGAACAGAGGTTTTTAAAAACATACAAAACAAATGCCTGAGGCGCAGATCTTTTCATTCAGCTGGAAAACCTACTGACAGCATATAATTGCTGTGAGGTTACTGCTGTGGTTTTAGCATGGATTCTAAAGCCAAGTTTTGTGTGTTTGAGTTTTTAATCAGGCTCAGCATAAATGGATAAAATGGATTATAATGTATAACAGGCATTGACTGGCAGAGGTTCTCCGTGGACAGCAGATGCCCTTCCACTGAGCTACAGTGCCTTCCCCAAACAAACATGGCTGCTGTACTACTTGAGCACAAAGCCATAACTCACACAACGAGATGTGTGGATACCAGGTGCCCACAACTTGTGTTTTGCATTGTGAGATTAACTTGGAGAGCTATAGCCTTTCAGTATTCACCAGGGATAACTAAGTGCCCTCCAGACTAACTAACATGACCCATGGCCAGGGCTGATGGGAGCTGAAGTCCGACAACATCTGGAGGACACAATGATGACTACCGCTGGCATGGGCATTATAAGGCAGTAGGGTCAGACTGATGTCCTGCAAGTTCCTTGCCATGCATTCCAGATGTCAACACCACTAGTGTGTGTGCTTCTGCCTCGAAGGCCATCTTAAGCAGACTCCTTTGGTAAAAAATAAGTATGAAGACACCTAGGAAGCAGTTTGGTTTCAGAAATCTCCACGTTAATTATGTGTTCCTCTAGAAAACCAAGACGGTTCCCGGGGACTCACTTGAGCAGAAGCGTTGAGTGGACATGAATATTTTGGAACTGAATTCCGTGCTCTTAATGACACATATTTGCTGGGCTGCTTATTCATAGTCATGCTGAAGCGCGAGGCATAATTTTAGCTACTTAAAAATGAATATTTACCCAGTTTGCCCTTAGCCCACTGCACTCCCAAGCACTCATTTTTGCCCCCGCGAAGGGAATGAAAATTCAAACAGAAACCTCTATGGCAAGGACTACAAATAGGATGGCTTTTTTATGTAATTTGCTTTTTAATTTAAGTTGTTGTTTCCCTCCTTTCGTTTTTAATGAGATTTTCCTTCAAGTAAGGAATGAGCACCGTCCTCTCCTATGGCATTTGTCACAGTCTTCTGGTTTCTCGAGGAAGAACCTGCATCCTCCTTTCTCTGCTTCATAAAGCAACTGGAGCAAGGACAAGTCAGACCAACAGAACATGATCCATGCCAGGGATAGGGAACTTCTGGCCTGGGCTCCACAGATGGCCCTCTAAGCCCTCTCTGTGGCCCCTGGGACTCTCCCCAAGCCGCACACCCTTACTGACCCTGCTTGCTTCCTACCTGCTTCTTGCCCTCCCAGATTCAAAATCACTGAGCATAATAACAAGAGGGGTTGGTGGCTATGAAACTGGATTTTGGGCAGTGCACATTGGGCTAATACGTTTTGCAGGGTTTGGGTTTTATTGTGTAAAACCAACCGGTGCGGGGAGACTTGGGTTAAAGTGGGAGGGTGTAATGGACTTGCAGGAGTCGGAGCAATGGGAGGCACCAGCTGGGGAACCCCCAAGATGAGAAGGCTCAGAGCCAGGGGGCTGGTGCTGGGATGACAGTGAGTGGCCAGAGGGAGAAGAAGGAGGAGGAGGTGTCGGAAGCTGAAGAGGCAACAGGGTTTAATGAGCAGGGAGATTGTGGCAGAGAGCAGTCTAGAACCAGAGGCAGAAGCGGAGGCTGGCCACGAAGCAGTGATGGGTCATGCTTGTGGAAGGCACAGGTGTCCCACCCATCCTGCTGCAATGAGCATGAAGCGGGAGGAGCAAAGACAGGTACGCAGGCACAGTCTCCGATTGCTTGGGAAAAGCCCTGGAGAGGAGGAGACATAGCTGGCTATTGGGAGGCGGGAACCTTTAGTCCTGGCAACTGCCTCATAAGGGCAATTTCTATCGGTTTGACATCCTGAGCTGTCTTGTTTCTTTGAATAAAGACTTAACTTCACTGAAACTGTGCGAGTTATTGCTGACTGGCTCCTGGCATCTGCTCCTGACAGAGGGGGAAACCCTCTGGATTTGGCTTGTACATTATATTAGATGTTGACATCTACCATTCACCCCAAATTTCTGCCTTCCAGGGACATGAAGGAGTGCCCTTTCTTCCATGAACGTGCCTGAGCATTAAGAAAAGCCCCCATGGCTCTGCTTTTAATCTCTTTGGCGTCGATGGGTGGATGTTGACAGGAAACAGGGCCTTTTCAGTTGTGGCTCTTCATCTCTGGAAGGCTCTCCCCAGAGACACCCCCTTCATTTCTTTATTTTATTTTTTTGGTCAGATAAAACCTATATAAGCTGCCCAGGCCTTCTAACAGCTTGATATCTTTTTAGTGGGTTTATATTGCTTTGTTATTGCTCTGTTGTATCTTGTTATCTTTGTGGGATTTTTTTATTATAAAAAAATATGGTTTTAACGTTCCATTGCCCAACTTTGGAAGCTGCTCCAAGATCTTTTGCTGAAGAGTGGCTAAGAAGTATTTTAAATCAATGCCTACATAAATAAATAAAACCACCCCCCTGCCTCCTCAACTCTTAATTTCAACTGTGCTCCTGAGGTCTTTATTTTCACTAGGTTTGACACGAGGCTGTTCTGTAAAAGCGTTTGCTTGTGGTCTTGTACAGGACGCAATCAATAGACTTCAAAAATAATCCCTCAGTGGCCTATTACTGATGTATCATCCTGTATCATGTCCATTCATCTGAGACAGAGCCCCGCTAACGTTTGCTTTCCAAATCACCTTGCAGCTCCCAGTCAAGGACTCGCCAAGCTTACAGGGTCAAACATATGATAGTGACATCACTGGACTGGAAGTGCTGCCCCGGATACAGCGGAGCAACGTGCCAGCCAAAAGGTATGGGAAGCGATGGAAATATTAACCCTTCCTGGCAGGCAATCTGACCTGGCTACAAAATGGCTGGAAGCGGGAGGGAATCTGCCTGCGGCAGATGGAAATGGAAGCCCTTCCAGATCAGGTGTGGGGAAGCTCTGGCCCACCAAATGTTGCTGAACTACAACTCCCATCATCCCATGCTTGTCAAGTACAGTGGAGGATGCTGTCACATTAGCGACGTTGTCGGTCTGTTTGGGTTCTGGATGTTTAATGGGGGTCACCTTTGAACAGGCAGCAGAATGTCTTGGATTGGCTCTGCGGGAGTGTTGGACAAACCAGGAAGAGTATGGTCTTAATCCCAGCTGATCCTAACAAAACAGGCACAGCAAAGGAATGAATCTTCAGTATAGTATCACAGGCGCCAACGCCTAGTGCAAAAGTGCCTCAGACCCATCCCAATTTATTTTTTGAGGGAGCTGATCCCCCTCAATGTTCAGCGGGTTTTCAGCTCCACCCCCTGGCTCCTCAGAACGTCACGTACAAGATGTCAGGACGTCTTGTGATGTCAGCCACAGGACATTGCATTGGACCCCCTCAATCATCCGGAGAAGATGGTGCCTCTGGTTAGTACGGTGGTTAGTTTGGCCCTAGCAGAAGAAGCCTGTCTGGTTCAAAGAACCATTTCATAAAGTAATTACTCAGCAAATGCCTCTTGTTTAAAAATTAATCCACCTAGAGTAGCTTGACCCCCCTGACTTTTTAAGGTACGCTGTCTCTGAATGTATTTTAGCCAGAGGGCATACATTTAGACACTCAATCCCATTCCCATTGAAGTCAAAGCAAATTTATAGCCGGGGCTTCATTTGGATTAAGATTGAGGCAGATGGCAAAATGCCACGCAGACTATTGCACCGACCTTGCGTGAAACATTGCCTGCTTGAGACAGGGAGTCCTGTATTTTACGATTGCGCCCGTGATCAAACATATGGCAAGTGTGTCGTGGTTTAACAGGCTTGCGACTGCTATTACTTGCTCGTGGCCTTATACAAGCTCCCCTTGAAAAATAAGATATGGCATCCACATACATATTTTAAATGGATGAATATTACAAGAAATGCCATTAGCTGCGGTAGGGAACTCAATCATCGTCGGTAGAGAAGAGGCTGTGATTAAAAATTTATGGGCAAAAATGTGGAGAAGTCACTGCTGTTCGCATCTAAGAGAAGGAAATCTTAATACTGGCGGCGGCACGGGAATCCCCTGTGGAAACAAGAGTCTCTCTTATACATGGCTGAAAAAAGGTAGATGTTTTGGATTAACTCTAATTGGGACTGTTTGTTCGTCATGCTTTTACATCTGGGATCCCAGGCAACATGGATCTAAAATGTTTTCAAGGCTTCATAGAATCAAAGAATGGTAGAGTTGGAAGGGACCCCCAGGGATCATCCAGTCCAACCCCCTGCAATGCAGAAATCTCAGCTAAAGTATCTATGAAAGGTGGTCATCCAACCTCTGCTTAAAAACCTCCAAGGAAGGAGACTTGTTGCTCTTGTCATTATTGGACAATAGCCACAGTTCCATGAGCATGAGTTGGATCTTGGGCCTCAGGTTTCCCTTTTGCCCCCCAACCCAAAAAGAAAGCCTACTCTGAAGGGTTGGCAGATAATCCAGAAGAAAATAGGAGCCTAGGCATAGACCTTACCATTGGTCCATCCATATCAGTATTGTTTGCAGTAACTAGAAGCAGCTCTATGGGTTTTAGGAAGGGATATTTAGCAACCCTACCTATAATAAATAATAAATTTTTATTTATACCCCGCCCTTCCCGGTTCAAAAACCGGGCTCAGGGTGGCTAACAACAAATTTAAAACACTTAATTGATGCAACAAAAAACAGCATAAAATACAGTATAAAACACAAATAACAATAAATTCAGAATTCAAAAATCAATTTAGGGGGGAAATCCATCCAATAAACATTAGATGATCACCAGGGCTAGCTGGCTAAATTAGTCCTATTTGGGCCAGCGTGGAGACCAGGGGAGAATTAGCTGTGGGATCCCAGAGCGGGTAATCTTCATAAAAAGGGGACGGGGAGGGAAGGAAGGGGAATAAAAGATCAGGCTAAGTTCAAGTTGAAAGCCAGGCGGAATAGCTCTGTCTTACAGGCCCTGTGGAAGGAGGTTAAATCCTGCAGGGCCCTGGTCTCATGGGGCAGAGCATTCCACCAGGTCGGAGGCATCACTGAGAAGGCCCTGGCCCTGGTGGAGGATAATCTAACTTCCTTAGGGCCTGGGACCTAGAGATACTGGGGATTGAACCCAGAGGCTTCTGCATGGAGAGCAGGTGCTCTGCTACTGAGCAAAGGCCCTTCCCTATGGGAAGTTGCAGGGGCCAGTCCAAAAGGAGGGGGCAACCAGAGAAAACAACATTTCCTTGCTTCACTTCCATGTGCTCTGCAGGACGGAAGGTCTGCTTACCTGAACAGAAGGGATGTGCTGTATCCAAGCCATAGCAACCACTGTGATGTCCACAGTGGATAAGCAGTGCCTTGCTGGGAAATTTTATTGGGATTGATGAACTTGAGGTTGTCCTTCAGAGGTTCTGATTGGCTAAGACAGGGATGCGGAACCTGTGGTCCTCTGGATATTGTAGGACTACAACTCCTTCCAGCCCCAGCCAGTGTGAGGAATGGTCAGTGGGGGTGATGGGAGTTGTAGTCCAACAACATCGGGAGGACCACAAGTCTAAGGTCACAGTACTCCTGAATAGGCCCACTAAAATTAATGAGGGCTCCACAAGGGTATGGAAGAGCACACATCTTCCTAGTACATCTTCCTGAGGTTAATATGCCTCCCCTTCAACCATTTTTCTGGCCCACAACCTATTAACAAAATGGAACACTAATGTGATAGTCCCTGCATCTGAATGAACCCTGAGCAGGTGCACACAGGTCAGCTAGTCAGAGTCTTCCTCACTATAGTAAGAGGTATTGAATTTCTATTTAAATTATATAGTTTCTAAAGTTGCATTTATGCATATAAATCAGGGTATGAAAATTTTAGGAAAGCCCTCTTCTCTGATGAAACATTCCTTCTTCTTTTTCGGCAAGGCACCGTGCCCCAATTTTGAAATTTGCTTCTCACCCACCATGTTGGCATCTCTCTCTCTCTCCCCTGCGTGCAAATTCCAAATGGCAACGGGCCATCAGATTCTGAAAGCCAGCAAAGTTTATTTAAGCAAAATCTCAAGGCAGGCTTGGAAGTTTCTGCTCAAGTGAGAATTTCAAGTGAAACTAGAAAAGTTGCAGTAAGACAAGTGAAATTTATTGGGAAGGTTCTGTCTTAGGATCTACAGAAAACATAAATGCATGTTGCTAGCCCAAATGTGCTATGGATGTTTCCTGCCTCTTACAGTATTGGGAGTTGGAGTCTAACATCTGAGCTCCAATACGGCAGAATTTCTCTTTGGCTTCCCAAAATTTCAGAGGTCTGCTGCATAGTAACTCAGAGTGGGGCTTTCTGTGTGACTATCCCACTTCTGTGAAAAAGAATTCCTCTACTTACTGGGTACAGCTGAAAACATGTTTGTTTTGACAAGTTTTTCGAGCTCAGTGAAAAAGTCTCTGCCTTTGGGGTTCATGTTGTGTTGTTTTTAAACCAAATCTTCAGTTGTTTACATGGTTTTTTAAAAAACTGTTTTTTAGTTGTCTTTGAGGTATTTTTTGCAAATTACCTTGGGACCCATATAAAGGCAACCAATTAACTAATTAAATATAAATGTTTCTGAAAACCCACGTGGGAGTCCTTTCAACAGAACCTGTTTTTGTCAGGTGCAAAGAATTTTCAGTCCAGCGACTAATTCTAAACAGAAGACGAAAAGCTCAACATTTATAGACTTTTCCCAGTAGATGGCTGTATAATGTTCACAATAACAGGAGGCCAACTGCAGTATAGAGCAGCAGACAAAGGAGAAGAATTAAGAGTTAAGCCCGTCTACAAAATTCATTGGGGATTTATTAAACCGGTGTAAGCAGTCAATGAAACGACTCCTAAGAGGAATCACACTACTTTTAGGTGTGCTGCCCATTATCAGTCACTGTTGCAGAATGAGAGTTCCCAGAGTTCTCTGGGAAGAGAGATGGATGGTTCAACCACCCTGGGAACTGTAGTACCCTTAACAAAACACCACTTTCCAGCATTCTTTGGGGGAAGCCATGACTGTTTAAAGTGGTATCCTAGTGCTTTAAAAGGGACGCAGGTGGCGCTGTGGGTTAAACCACAGAGCCTAGGACTTGCCGATCAGAAGGTCGGCGGTTCAAATCCCCACGACAGGGTGAGCTTCCATTGTTTAGTCCCAGCTCCTGCCAACCTAGCAGTTCTAAAGCACGTCAAAGTGCAAGTAGATAAATAGGTACCGCTCTGGCGGGAAGGTAAACTGGGTTTCCGTGCGCTGCTCTGGTTTGCCAGAAGCAGCTTAGTCATGCTGGCCACATGACCCGGAAGCTATACGCCGGCTCCCTCGGCCAATAAAGCGAGATGAGCGCCGCAACCCCAGAGTCGGCCACGACTGGACCTAATGGTCAGGGGTCCCTTTACCTAGTGCTTTAAATGTATCAGATAGAACTGTAGAGTTGGAAGGGACCATGAGGGTCATCAGACTAGATGACCCCCCCGCAAGGCAGAAATCTTTTGCCCAACATGGGGCTCAAACCCACGACCTGGAGATTAAGAGGCTCGTGCTCTACCAGCTGCGCTATCCCAGGTGGTATAGCCTAATATATTTTAAGTGGAACATAGGAAAGTGCCGTAGAACATATATTCCTCTATCTAGCCCCATATCGTCTCCTCTGAACGGCAGCATCTCTACGTGGTTTCAGGCAGGGATATTTCCTGCTACCTAGTCATTTGAATTGGAAATGCTGGGGTTTAAAACTGTGACTACAGAACGCAAAGCAGGCACTCTTTCTGTGAGCTTTGGCACCTCCTTGAAGAGCGGACCTGAAAAATACGAAGCACAAGAGATACAAAGAGGAACTTATCAGATGCATGCTCACCCCAGAGTCACGATTGGCTGCAGCTATTAACTGTACACTCAGTGGCAAACCCATGCTTGCCTCTGGGTATTATGTGAAATAGTCCACCTTTAAAGGGTGCGTGTGAAGCTGAAAGGAAGAGAGGGGATTGTGAAATCTGCATCATATCTCAAAGCAACCACCTAGCTGATTTAATTAGGAGGGTTCTGCAAGGATTGACTGGGGGGCGGGGGAAGCACCTTCACATTGTCAGCCCGTATATTTGGGAACAAAAGAATGGTAAGCGGAAGAATAAAAGGACATCCATCAGGTGGCCCTTTATCACCGGAGAGTAACTGATTCCCCCCGTCACAGATTGTATCGTCACGCTGCCACCTGATAAATCCTATGTAATTAATTGGGATGAATGCAAGTATTTAACTCCTGTTGACAGCTATGGCCTTATGAAGATAACAGCGGCCACTGAGAATGTGAGCCGAGCTTCCAGCTTACATTGCAGCCTTGACTGCTGCTATGATAGGCTTTGAGGACAGCTAGATCTCACAGGCCCCTGTGGAGCACCTAATTGTTGCTTTTTGCAATTACAGCAGATAGAAGGTATTTGTGTCATCTGGAAGGCTTGTTCATCCTGGGGCTCCTGCATTTTGGATAGTGTCATCCTATCTGTCAGTCAGGAAGCATGCGAGCCTGGGAAGTGCCCAAGAGTCAGCTAGGAGACACCTGCCAAAATCTTGTCTGACCCAGATCCTGGAAACACCTCTTCTGAGAAAGAGGCTTGGGGCCCTGATAAGAGCCCCACTTCAACAGAGACTTGAAGAAATCCACAGTGGTTCAAAGGCAGCCCGAAGAGCCTCATTGCCACAGGATTGCATCCTCCTGGCCCCTCATCCCACCTGGCTGCCTTAGTCAGCCAGGTGTCTCCTAAGGAGGAAGGGTCCACATGGGATGAAAAATCTAGGGGCATAGGTGTGATGGCCTGGGACTCGGGCTCAGACTCAGAGCCAGAGCCAGAGGAGTCTCAGTCCGCACCGGATCCTTTGCCTCAGGCAGCAGCTGAACCTAGTCTGGGGTCTGATTCTGAAGAGCCCCAGTCTGTACAGGTTCCCCTGCAACAAGCACCAGTTGGGCCGAGTCAGGGGCCTGAGCCTGCCCTGGCTTCAGATGCGGGGATTACCTTGTTGCCTTCAGCTGGGCCATCACTTACAGCTTCTCCACTACCGGTTGGGTCAGGGGAGGCAGAGGCGGCCTCTGGGTCTAGTAACCCATTGACATCTCCCGAGCTGCAGAGACAGGAGAGACCTGAGTACTCGCAGGAGGAGTGCTCGCCTTTGGGTGAGACAGGGAGGTGATTCACCGGGGGATCAGGACCGGCCGTTACCCCGACAGAGATAAAAAGCTGCTGGACCCTGCCCCAGGTTGTGGGAGCAATGTTGCTGTTTGCCAGAACCTGCCTGTGATCCTGTGCCTGACCTTGCCTGGTTTCCTGCCTCGTGTCCTGCCTTGGCCCTGTTGGACTGACTACTCATGGAACCCTTGGATTCGGGACTGGACCTGGACGGCGTTACTTGGGTTACCCCCGGGCCCAGCACAATAGGAACACAGGAAACTTCCTTATCCTGAGCCAGACCACTGGCCCATCTAGCCCAGTATTATCTACAATGACTGGCAGCAGCTCTCCAGAATTTCAGACAGGATTCTCTGCCATCCACCCTACCTGGGGATTCAACCTGGGACATCAGAACTCATGGACATCCAATGAGGCTGAATGTTGGAAGATTCAGGACAGATGCAAGAATGTACTTCTTCATGCAGTGCATGATTAAACATAATTAAACCTTTAAAGCTCTAAAGGGCCTCAGTCCAGTATACCTGAGGGAGCATCTCCAGCCCCATCGTTCTGCCTGGACACTGAGGTCCAGTGCCGAGGGCCTTCTGGCGGTTCCCTCACTGCGAGAAGCTAAGTTACAGGGAACCAGGCAGAGGGCCTTTTCGGTAGTGGCACCCGCCCTGTGGAACGCCCTCCCACCAGATGTCAAAGAGGAAAACAACTACCAGACTTTTAGAAGACATCTGAAGGCAGCCCTGTTTAGGGAAGCTTTTAATGTTTGATGGACTATTATATTTTAATATTCTGTTGGAAGCCACCCAGAGTGGCTGGGGAAACCCAGCCAGATGGGTGGGGTATAAATTATTATTATTAATAATAATAATAATAATAATAATAATAACGATGACACTCGCTGCTACAGGAGGCAATGTTGCCCACCAACTTGGATGGCTTTAAAAGAGGATTAGACAAAGTTGTGCAGGCCAAGGCTATTAACATCTACTAGCCGTGATGGCTATGCTCTGTCTCCACAGTTGGAGTTGCTGGAAACCAGGGAGAGAGCAGTGCTCTTGTGTTCAGCTCCTGTCTAAGGGTTCCCCACAAGCATCTGATTGGCCATTGTGAGAACAGGATGCTTGACCCGATGGGCCCCTTCATCCTGATCCAGCCGGCTCTTCTTATGTTCTTAAGCGCTGCCAATCAGAGAGGCTAACAGCAGACAAGATGGACCAGCTGTAAAAGGCATTGCCTCATATATTTAAAGTACTAGAGGAGGAAGCGACAGAGACAGAAAAAGTGCAAATGTGGGGTGCCTTCAGGCAACTTAAAGCTAGGTCCACACCTTCGAAATGTGGAAACGCACAAATGCTGATTGAATCAGAGCTTTTAAAATATCCTCTTTGCAACTGCTTGATCCTTCAGGTGACAGAGATACTAGATTTTTGAACTGGGTCCCGATATTAAACTGCCTTTCCTATAACAAACAGCAGTAGGAGTTAGAAATCACGTCAACCGAGCGACAAACCTCAGCTCCCTCGTCTCTTTCTTCCTGGCAACCCTGTGACCCCCGAGGCATTTATCTGCAAACAGCAGCAAGCCCAGTGGATCTGTTGAAACTAAGATAAGAGGGCAGGGATGGAGAGTCAAACTATTTTCCTTAATCCTTTTGTACCTAGAGAAAGGTCCCCCTCTTTATTTAAATTCAGTTTAAGGTCATAGCTGAGATCCATGGTGACTTTTCTCTTTCTTCTTCCTCCCGTGCCCCCAGCAAACTGTTTCACTAGACCCTAATATTTAGCAATCTTCTGTGTAAATACATTGCTGTATGCTTTGCAACCTACCAAGCGAAGCACTGTTCACTCACCATGAATGGTGGTTCTCCAGGGGCTCAAACCTTCTGCCTTTGCTTGGGACTATAAGAAGAGAAGGCTTCTCAGGCACCTGGCAAATGGCAATTTATATCGGGGGGGGGGGTGCATTTGCCTTGGACTTGGGGGATCAGAAGTTGGGCAGGATGGTGTACACTGTAACTTTTTTGAGAGAGAAGAGGCACGGTGACACAGAAAGACGTTCAGTGGTAGAGCATTTGCCTTGCATGCATAAATTCACAGGTTCATTTCCTGGCCTCTCCAGGCAGGGCTGAAAAAGACTAATTTTTTGAAAGCCTGGAGAGTCTCTGCCATTCAGTGTAGGCAATACGGAGTAGGACTGAAAAGGCAGATGATGATGATGATGATAATTTATTTATACCCCACCCATCTGGGCACCTCCCAACAGAATTAAAAGCACAATAAACTATCAAACATTAAAAACTTCCCTAAACAGGGCTGCCTTCAGATGTCTTCTAAAAGTCAGATAGTTGTTTATTTCCTGACCTCTAATGTGAGGGCGTTCCACAGGGCGGGCGCCACCACCGAAAAGGCCCTCTGCCTGGTTCCCTGTAACCTCACTTCTCGCAGTGAGGGAGCCGCCAGAAGGCCCTCGGCGCTGGACCTCAGTGTCCGGGCTGAATGATGGGGGTGGAGACGCTCTTTCAGGTATACTGGACTGAGGCCGTCTAGGGCTTTAAAGGTCAGCACCAACACTTTGACCTGTGCTCGGAAACGTACTGGGAGCCACTGTAGGCCTTTCAGGACTGGTGTAATGTTCCTACCTGCTGCTTCCAGCAAGAGAACTGCTGCTCTGATCATTCCATGGAGATCTGCCAATTCCATTTTCTCTCAGCTTCTCAGATTTCCGAGCTTAAGTTTCTTTTGGTTCATTTTCACTCCTATTTGCATTTTTAAAAAACAAAAACAAAAAAAACAAAAGATGTCTGCATGGAAATCTGTACACATTTAGTGTGCATTTCCAGATTAGACGTGCTTATTTCATAGGATAGCTGCATTGCATCCTGGTTCAGAATGTGCAAATTAGATAGGTCCACATTAGTATCTGCCCTGGATGACTTCCCCTCCACCCCCTAGGCTAGTGCACAATATAATTTTTCTCACAGTGACCGCTTTTTCTCCCCTGACCCACCCATGGGGGCTGCTTTCTGCCTGCGACAAATGAGTGATCTGACTCTTCTACCCTGAGCAGAACATAGCATTTTAAATGACAGCACAAGCTAGTGAGATGGCCGAGGTTCAAAACTACGTGGCTCATGATACTGATTTTGCCAGCATGTAATGCTCATTTTTAGTGAGCACCCTTCACTTGAAATCTTTCCTCTTTTCATAATTCCAGCTGGGATATATTTCAAGGATACGTGGAGATTTTGCTATGGCTCCGCATTCATCCTGCTCAGCGCTCAGAGCCAGCAGCCGCTGCTGGTGCCTGCTCAAAAGCCAGCTACTCTCAACTGAAATGTGTGTGACTTTGATTGATGAAATTACAAATGGGGATATATTTACAGAAGGATATCTTGCCCCCCGGACAACAAATGTGCTCAGAAATGTCCCGTGTGTGTGGCTGAGGTGGCTCACAGCTCGCTGGTAGAGCCCTTTCTTTACAAGCAAAGGGCCTGAAGGTCAATCTCTGGTATGTCTTTATATGGCTGGTAAACATCTCTGTCTGAAGCCACAGAGTACTGCGGCCAGTCAGCTTAGAATGAGCTAGTTAATGAGATAGAAACTGCCCATCACTGGCATATGGTCCTTGAAAGGTTGTCCCAAAAGTAATGCGGCCCTCAGACTGCGAAATATTCCCTACCCCTGCTCCAGGGCATTGTGGGAAATATATGGTGTTTCCAAGCTGCCTGCCCAGTGCTCATTGGAGCATTGCTATTTCCTATTATCAGATAAGTCTTTCAGGGTCCATGGGCACCTACCAAAGCACATTATGTCAACAGATCCCTCAAACTGAGTCTGGCCTCCCCCTCCTCTCAGTATCCCAAAACAGCTATAACAGTTGAGTTCTGATTTGCTTGATACAACATGCACCTTGACGTCTCAACTGGCAATACAGAAATCCCAAGCATTGCAGCTTGGTGTCATCCTTACCATTGTAGTGAGATGTGCTGTGTAAACAGTGCAATAGTATATGCACAAATAAATGATAACCCATTTCCATAAAACAGAAAACGCATTGCCAACACTGTGGCAATTTACTGTAGAATCCCTGCTGCTCACACTCACTGGAAAGGGCCTCTCTGAAGAGATCAGTTCAGAGTATTCTCAAGTATCTGGAGTGCAATTTTGTTCCTTCGTTATTAAAAATGATATGGTTCTCTTGCATGCCCCTTGGGTAACTGCTGAATACAGATTTAATTATTCTTCATTCTTATCTAGAGCACAGAGAGTGATATTATTAGTGATGATGGGCAAACTCCCCCTGTCTCGATTCAGAATGAGCTTGAGTAAAATGCTATATATATTTTCAAGATTGCTGGATAAATTATAGGAAATGCATCACTTTAGCTTGATTCTGTTCTGAGCTGGGCTCCATCGCACACTTGACAATGTCACTGGAAGCTTTACTAGTCCCACAATGAGAGATTATAATGTATCTGCCTATAGAAGGGAAGACAGGGACTGGGACCAGGTGACCAGTGTGTGCCTATTTGATCTGCTGTCCAGGTACTGATTGTTGATGGGCATCTTCAAGGTCCCTGGTGCTCTCGTTTCTTAGGGCTCTTCAAGTTTAAACTGGACATGGACTGGACTGCCAATCAAGTCAATAGCAACTTGACGTAATCAAACTAAAATTGACATTATTTGTCCTGCATTAGCGACTGGGTGGATAGTGCCATTTTGTAGCTTAGTCACTAGGTGGCACTGGACTTAGATGCATCTGAGCAGAGTCAGAAGTTCTGTTCTTGCTTAAGAAGAGAGATAATAGAGTTCTCATCTATCTTCCAGAGGTGTGTCCTCAGCATTCAATGACAATGAGAACTGGAGTTTTCAAATCACAGGCATTTTCAGGTTCCCAAATTTTCTCTCTCTCTCTCGTCTGTTATATTCAGGAATGCTGTACACTGTCCTCTTAAATATAGAATCATAGAATCATAGAGTTGGAAGAGACCACAAGGGCCATCGAGTCCAACCCCCTGCCAAGCAGGAAACACCATCAGAGCACTCGTGACATATGGTTGTCAAGTCTCTGCTTAAAGACCTCCAAAGAAGGAGACTCCACCACACTCCTTGGCAGCAAATTCCACTGTCGAACAGCTCTTACTGTCAGGAAGTTCTTCCTAATGTTTAGGTGGAATCTTCTTTCTTGTAGTTTGGATCCATTGCTCCGTGTCTGCTTCTCTGGAGCAGCAGAAAACAACCTTTCTCCCTTCTCTATGTGACATCCTTTTATATATTTGAACATGGCTATCATATCACCCCTTAACCTCCTCTTCTCCAGGCTAAACATGCCCAGCTCCCTTAGCCGTTCCTCATAAGGCATCGTTTCCAGGCCTTTGACCATTTTGGTTGCCCTCCTCTGGACACGTTCCAGTTTGTCAGTGTCCTTCTTGAACTGTGGTGCCCAGAACTGGACACAGTACTCCAGGTGAGGTCTGACCAGAGCAGAATACAGTGGCACTATTACTTCCCTTGATCTAGATGCTATACTCCTATTGATGCAGCCCAGAATTGCATTGGCTTTTTTAGCTGCCGTGTCACACTGTTGGCTCATGTCAAGTTTGTGGTCAACCAAGACTCCTAGATCCTTTTCACATGTACTGCTCTCAAGCCAGGTGTCCCCCATCTTGTATTTGTGCCTCTCATTTTTTTGCCCAAGTGAAATACTTTACATTTCTCCCTGTTAAAATTCATCTTGTTTGTTTTGGCCCAGTTCTCTAATCTGTCAAGGTCGTTTTGAAGTGTGATCCTGTCCTCTGGGGTGTTAGCCACCCTCCCAGTTTGGTGTCATCTGCAAATTTGATCAGGATGCCCTTGAGTCCATCTTTTCTCCCCTTTTCATGTCTTCTCTTAGAATAGGGAAAACCTTGCTGTGGGCCTGTGCTTGGGACATCAGCCAGGGAGCGGCACATAACCTGGTTAAATAAACCACTCACTTTTCCATATCTCTGTGTGGAACCTGAATCGCATAGTGAACGTTTTACAGACAACACAAAGGTCGGCTAGGTTAGTCCGAGCCTCAGTGAGATTCTGTCTCTCTGTCCCCCAAAATTCCAGCAAATATCCACCCCCACCCCCAAGTGTGCTGCAGATTTACATCTAGTAGCTCAGAAATCCGTTGAGCATTGTGAAAGGGCATAGTTGAATTCCAGATCTAAACCTCGCACACTTCCATGGCATTCCTAATACGGGCCCATTACCTGGATTACTCTTCCCCATGATCACTGGAGCTGAGCAATGGGCACGATGTAATTACTATGTGGGGCTTGCTCTATGCCCTTCTTTAAGCCTCCACTTCAACATTAATCTCGCCGCTCTCCAAGTGTTCCTAATGATAAGGGAGGGCGAACCTTGCATTAGCACGAGCTCCTGCAAATCACAATCAATTGCAACCTGAAGGAGACACTTATAATCCTCTCTGGTAAGAATTAAAGCCATTCACTATCCCCCGCCAATATGGTGGCATAGCATGTGGTCCAGATGGGCAAAGCAGCTAACTCGGGAATCAGCACAAACGATTAGGATTTAGCTGACTAAGAGCTGGGGGGCACCGGAGTGCACCGGCGATGATATTGCCGCGTACTGGGTGAATTAGTCACACCGAATGTTTCACTCACCCTTATTCTTCTCCCCCGTTTTAGCCCAACAGGATCAATTGCTTCTACACAGCAACCAAGCGGAGAGCAACGCAGCTGTCGGCGGGGGGACGCCAGGGAGCCCAGAGCAGCAACAGCAGGATCCCAGCGACCCAGGTCAGCGGTTGTAATTACTGCAGTCCCTAACACAATCATTGTCAACACTATTTATTAAAACCAGAACAAAAGAAATCCCCCCGGCCACTGAAAGCGATGTGATGAAGCATTGGAGTCTCTTGCAATCTTGTTTTCCTTTGTGGGGTCTGCTCAGAAAGGTGAGGGGGCAAAACAGAATATTGATAGAGAATGGGCTTACACGGGCACCACCGCACTTGGTGGGAAATTCATTTTCCGGGACAACATTATTGGATACAACAGCCCGATAAGGAACAACAAAAGCAATATAAAGTCAGGGGCTCCGTGACATATGTTAAATGATTGCCAATGGCCAATCTTTTCTGCCGCTGGTGCCAGGGCCACGGGCAAGGGCAAGGGCTCGTATAATCAGGCCTACACTGCAGCCAGGGAAGGGGGCACCATCAGGTGTCTTTCTCCTTGAGGTCTTTGTCTGTTCTCTCCAGGTGTATGAAGGTTACGGGCAGGGCCACAGATGCAAATCCATGAGCAGAGCAATGAATGGGCATTCATAACAGAAAGGAGCAAGGGCCTCAGCTTGCCTTGTCCTCTCCTTCTGGGTTCTGGTGCAGATTGGGGGAGAATGCAATGGGTAGTGGTGACAGTGGCAAGGTGAGGGAATCTGGACCAAGGGCCCTACAAAACTGGGAGTGGGCACTGGCTGCTGGTTACCGTTACCATTATTTATTAAATCCGTAGATCACAGGGCAGTTCACAACATAAAAATACAAGACCAAAAAACCCGAAATACATAATAAAAACAAGAACAAAACAAACCAATAACCCCCCTTGCCCCTACCCAGAAACACATTTGAAAGGGTATGGGATGTGAATCGGCTGAACACCAGGTTGAAGAGGAACATTTTTACTTGGTGCCTAAATGAAGGCGCCAGCTGAACCTCCCTGGGGAGATCATTCTACAAATGGGGAGCCACTGCAGAAAGGCCCGTTCTCGTGTTGCCACCCTCTCTTGCGGAGGAGTCACACAAAAGGCCTCAGATGGTGATGATAGAGTCTGGAATGGTGCACATGGTAGAGGCACTCCTTGAGGTACTGTGGTTCTTAGCCATTTAAGGCTTTATAGGTCAAAGCCAGCACTTTGAATTGGGCCCAGAAACTAATCAGCAGCCAGTGCAGTTGGGCCAGGATTGATACAACCTGCTCCATCTGTCTTGCCCTGGTGAGCAACTTGGCAGTTGAAACCAGGTGAAGTTTCCAAACCATCTTCAGAGGCAGCCTTATGCAGAACATGTTGCAGTAATCTAACCTAGAGAACATAGACAACAGAAGTTAGGCTTTCCCTGTCCAGCTAGGGGAGCACTTGGACCACGAGCTGAAGCTGATGGAAGGCACTCCATGCCACTGAGGCTATCTGAGTCTCAACAACAGCAAAGGACCCAAAAGGACCCCCAAGCTGATTCCATTGGTCCAGAGATAACAAGCTATGCTTTTTTGTGGTGCAATCTACTGTTCGCAGAAAGACAGCTAGATCAATTTTGGGAGGTAAAATGCAGGAGTATAATGCATTTATTTAAACCAGAGTTGAGATAACGCATGCCCAGGGGCCAAATATGGCCCTCAGAACTCTTCCTAGGCCATGTCCCTTTCCCAAACCCCTGGCTATGCTCCTCAATAGCCTCAATCTGCACTCTCCTCAAGTGCTTTTGCACAGTGGATATGTCCTTGACCTGTGATAATGCATTTTGCTTGCCTAGATGGAGAATAGGGAGCTGTATGTAGGGTTGGTGTATGCAAAAGTCTCTGGTTTTTACTGTACAGAGGAAAGAGTCTTAGCTGCTGCTTCACCCATTTTTTCCTCAGGTCCCAACCACCATGGGCTTGTGGCTCCCAGAAGATTACCCACGAGGGAATGCAGGCAAAAGGGGGGGGGCTCCCCATCCCTAATTTAAAAAGTAAAACTGAATCCTCCATAGAAAACTAACTAGGTGGAAGAAAGCTCCACTTAGGCTCATTAAATTTCTCTTAACTATTCCATATACTCTCCTGGAATTATAACTACTCTATAATGAATATGGATTATTCAGCAATTATTTGCTGCTGTGCTTGTATGAATGTCACTCATAGCTGAAGATACATGACAAAAATCAGAATGGCCCATTCTTATTAATGACTGCAGAAACTTTTCGTTTCTGGCAATCGCTCGTGGAATTTGTTTCTGTGCTTGCTTTTTTTGCGATTTAATTTAGTGACTTTCTTCCCTCTCCTTTTATTCCATTCTCCCTCCCACTAACCCTGACCTAGCAGTTGCGCAAAAAATGAATGAGCAGATTAGCAGCCAGGAGATGAGACTGACTTTGCTACAGAAGAAGGTTGACAACATTTCTGCCGTCGTGAGTGATGTGAGCGAGACACTCTCCTCTCTGGAAGGCAAAATCAATGAAGATAAGGGCAGAGACTTCCAGGCTTTTCTAAAAGGTAAAAGAAAGAAATTAATGCAATCACTCACCCAGTTAAAAGTGCCAGGGAAAGAGAAAGAGGAGGAAAAAGAGAGAAAGAAACTATTAGAAATGGACTTAGGCTGTCCTGTTCCATTATTCCACATTCTGCCAGGGAAGTATGTTTTCCTTTGTTCTGTTACTTAAAAAGAAAGAAGAAGAAGAAGAAGAAGAAGAAGAAGAAGAAGAAGAAGAAGAAGAAGGTGGTGGCGACTGGGCGTCTCCCCCAACCCAAAGTGTTGAAGGTGGAATGATAAAGCCTAGCGCTCCTGTTGTGGATGCTCATCCATGCCTGGACAAACAGGTTGCACAGAGTTTTTGTAGTTTTGTGAGCAAGTGCCCCCTCTCATATTAAAACAGTAAGTAAAGGGACATGACTAGGCGTATTTGGGTCAAATCAGGCCACAACTTTATTGACTACAGATGTAAAGAGGTTTGGTATAGGCGTTGGGTAAAGCCTCCACTTCCTGCCCACTCACTGGGGTCAACCGGAAGTGAGGGTGTCCTATGATCTACATCAAATAGCATCTCCCTCGCTGGATTGTCACCTGGGGAGTGCTGTGGCCCTAGCCCCCATCTGGACATCTGGACAGAAGCATCTCCCTTGGACCCCTTTAACGGGACACCTCCTTTTTTTCAGAGTTGTGATGATTGCTATGAAGAAGGTGAAAACCACCAAGTTGGTGCCAATTTGCCAAGTGGGAAAATTCCTACCCGGCCCCAAATATGGCAGCCGACAAAAACCATTGCAAGGTCTTCATCACCAAACACAGCAGCAGAACAGAGAGGGAGGGTGGGAGATCTGGCGATGAAGTGGCTGTTGAGGTAGGAGGTGGGGCCCTTTTTATTCACAGGGAGCGGACCCAAGAGAAGCCTGTGGGCCCAGTTGGGTCCGCCTCCTGGGAATGCCCCACTTTCTTGCCCACCCAATTTCATGAGTGGGCAGAATCCACAGTCCGGACGGCAAGCTCAGCTTAGAAGAACGTCCTGCCATGCATGTGATTACAAGCGGGCACCTAGCATCTGCAAAGGCCCCAAGTAACGTGCTGGATCTTCATTCTGTCTTCATTCAGCAGTTCGCTTTGTTTGTCATCGATTGAAATTTGTCCCTGGGTCTTTGTTGTGCTGCATATTGTGTTCGAATGTCTATTGCCTCGGAGTAGTAATGCAGAAATAGCATACCTTTGAGCCTCTAAAAGCCCCTTGGAGACATCTACATGCATTGCAGGTCCATTCCTTACTTGCCTCAGCGGTTTCTGAGCTCTGGATACTGCTCTCAAATAGCCCTGCTTTCCCCAGTCATATTTAGACCACCTCTCCCATCCATCCTGTTCCTCCCCCCGCCCTGCCCCCGGTCCCGATGAATTTTATTGCTATGTGTCATTCTTGACCCTTGGGTATACGTCCAATATGGCTTCGAACATTTTCCATTTCCTGTCAGCTTCCTTCCCATCCATTTTTGTGTGTTCCCTGCGGGTTAATCTGTTACTTGCACTTGTACCTCTGGAAGAACCACTGTCAGATCTTATCCCGCTTCCTTGCTGCATTTGGATTCACTTAAATTGTCAATTGCACAGTAAGGTTCTGTGCTCACACACAAAAGAAAATTACTATGATCATACGAAACCCAATCCATTTGACCCTTTGAAGACAGCAAGCCATGATCTACTTGAACAACTTCCCAAATTCACAATCTAGCTGCTATGCTAGAAAGAGCCTCTCTCTCTGTGTGTCAATTGTTGGAACCCCATCAAAGAAACACAGAATCGTAGAGTCAGAAAGGACCACAAGGGTCATCTAGTTCAACCCCCAGCAATGCAGGACTCTTTTGCCCAACATGGGACTCAAACCCATGAACCTGAGATTAAGAGTCTTATGCTCTACTGACTGAGCTACAGCCTTATCTTCCTTCCCCCGGGATTGCAGGAGGTTATACTAGATGATCCTCAGGGTTCCTTCCAACTCCATGTTTCTATGACATATTTCCAGCCTTTCCATGAAAGGCTTAGCACAGTTTACATGCTTCTCTCATCCAAACACAGATCACTTCCACACTCATTCTGTGTTCCTAAATCATTCACTGATACCAGACTTCCTTACAGATTTGTATCATTGGCCCCACAGAGGCAGCATTTTGCTTTAGATGCTTTTAAAATGAAATTTCCTTCCCACGTTACATCAGCCTTGTCCCAGGCTAACCTTGGATCCACTCCCTGTCTGCTGGCTTTCTCTTTGATTTATGTGAGTTATTTACAAATTGCATTATCCTTCTGACCACTTTGTTTTATGAAAGTGCTACTATTAGCTTCTTTTATTAGCTTTTCATTAGAAGCCTGGGGACTTGAGGGGACTCGATCCTCCTAGTAGTGCACACTGTGCGTGTGTGTGTGTATGCATGGAGACTGTGCTAGTGAAGTAGCGTTGTGATTTTTCCTTTGAAAAGGCGTCCTTTTTCTGTAGCATATTTGGGTACTGCTCTCTGCATTGTTCTGCCAGCCTTGCAAAGCAACTCTTCTATCAACAGAAGATTGATTCCCAACTTCAGCATCTCTTTCTCTCCAGCTCCTTATCCCCCAAAGGAAGATTTATTTCCACTTCTCTATATTCTTCTTTCTCCATCTTTATGTCCGTCCCTACAGTCCAGTGATTACTTTCAGTTTTCATGCAGTCCTATCATGATTGCAAAATAGAATCCTGCAATCCAGCAACAACAGAGATGGGTAATTTATGGCCCTTCAGATATTGCTGGATTCCTCTTCCTACCATTCCTTGACCATTGGCCATCCTGGCAGGGGCTGATGGGAGTTGGAATCCAAAAGAATTGTGGGTATTCCATTGTGGGAATGCCCACTTCTCTAGGCATATGTCCCAAGGTTTAGATATGTGCTTCACACTCTTTCCTCGTTGAAACTATTCACACTTCCCCATCCTTCATTTTGGCCAGAGTGTGCCTCTAGAATGTAGCCTATTTCATTTTGTCTTTTTTTCTTCTTCATTCCTGCTCATCTATGAGTTCTAAATTCATTCTTTCATTCATTCATTTATTGAATATGATTGATAGAGTGCTCAATCTAAAAATGAATAAACAAACCTCTAAGCAGTTTACATAAAATTGTATAAAATGGTCATATGAAGATGCCAATAAAATCAATAAATAAAATGATCAAAATATAGGTAAAACCAACAGAGTTTAACAGCAGATCTACATGATGAAATAACCTGTCTGGAGAAGCTTGCCTGAACAAGAGTGTTTTTAGCAGGCATCAGAAATGGTACAAACACAAGGTCTGCCTGATATTAGTGAGCTGGAGTCCAAGAGCATAGGTGAGGCTCATTTGACAACAGTGAGAAATCAAGCCTTGAGTGTCATTGGCCCAGTCCTGTGGAACACCCTGACAATAGAGATTCAGCAGAGATTAAATCATGATTTATTGTTAAATTGCTTTTGGATTTTTCCATGGGAAGAAACAAACAAACTAATAGTAAAAAATTAAAATTAAAAAATGGCCCAGTAAATTGTCATTCTGGGCGCTCTCTCTCTCTCTTCAAATCACACTACTGTATCTATAAAATTTACTAATCAGTGTATCATGATTCTGAGATTCCTGGATTGCAGAAAGTTGGACTAGATGATTCTCCCTATCCCTTCCAACTCTAAGATTCTATGAGAGCTTAGCCTACGCTAATGTAGCCTAAGCCAAGCTTGGAGGCCTCAATGTCTTTCTTTACTCAAGAGTGCCCTTCTACTTCCTGCCTTCCTGTTTTCCGCCTGTATTAGATTTATGCTGGATCTGTCCCGCCTTCTGCATTTGTTCTTTGCAACCTTCCACCCTATTTTCAGAGATGACCTTTGCATAACCTAAGGGGACCTCTGAACCGTCCTCATTCCTCTCCACCCTTCCATTAAAAGTCAAATTGAGGAGAGCTGGGAGAGAGGGGGGTGATGACTTCTGCGAGCCTTGGTGGGTGGCAGGAGGATGAATGTCTAGCTGTGACATGCCACCATTAAACTCAATGAAGATACATAGCTAGGCAGAAAGAACAATGAGGTTGCTGCTGAATGAAAGAGCCATGTAAGCTTGACCTTAGTCATAGAATCTCTCGCTTGTTTTCTTGCAAAAAAGAAAGGAAGAAGGGAATGCCCTGGCAGTTTAAGAGAATATTCAATATGTGATTTCTTTTCATATGGAAATTAAGAGAGAAGTGGCAACTGTTTTGATTTTCTTCTTTGCATTTTTTAAAAAATACGAAAACACCTGTAATCCACCTTGTTTTAAATGAATGAGTACATGGCCAAGTGATGCTCGTGCCACCTTATGAAATCGCATCTTTAAGAAAATCACCCTCCTCCACCACCTACTTCCCATTATATTACTCAGCTGGAAAACCCTCTGGCAACCTCTTCATCTAAGCAGCAGAAGAGTTTGCTGGGCTATTTCACAAGATGCAATATGCATGTCAAGACTGACTTCTCTCCCACCCCCTTTCCCTAAAAATCTGCTGTTATTCTTTGGCTTTGCTGCTTTTTCAAACAGAAACACACACAAGTGCTCAAAACTGAACTGCATTTCAATAACTATTATTGCTTCCAATGCAGCAGCCACTTATATAGATAAATTTATCAGAAGAAGATCACTGTCTTGTTGTTTAAAAAACTCAGCAACCTCAGGACTTTTCAAAAGATGCCATCTAGGAGCACATCTGCCACCTGCAAGAAACAGGCAAAAGAGGACTTTAGCTGGCTTTGTTCCTTGCCATTCCATGGCTGCTTGCTCCATTGCCACATGCTTCAGATGACATGCTCTCAGCCCCCTTAACACACTGCAGCTCCCAGAATTCATTGAGGGATGCCATGACTCTTTAAAGGGGTATCACAGTGTTTTAAATGTATGGTGTAGAAGGGGCCCTGGTCACATGCTGAGTTGTCAGTGTGTTAGAGAAAGGGAGAGGGCAGAGAACACAAATTCATTTTGGCACAGAAATTCATTTTGGCACAGCTGCATGGAAGTTGTTGTAGTCGTTTAGTCGTGTCTGACTCTTCATGACCCCATGGACCAGAGCACGCCAGGCACTCCTGTCTTCCACTGCCTCCCGCAGTTTGGTCAAACTCATGTTGGTAGCTTCGAGAACACTGTCCAACCATCTCGTCCTCTGTCGTCCCCTTCTCCTTGTGCCCTCAATCTTTCCCAACCTCAGGGTCTTTTCCAGGGAGTCTTCTCTTCTCATGAAGTATTGGAGCCTCAGCTTCAGGATCTGTCCTTCCAGTGAGCACTCAGGCTGATTTCCTTCAGAATGGATAGGTTTGATCTTCTTGCAGTCCATGGGACTCTCAAGAGTCTCCTCCAGCACCATAATTTAAAAGCATCAATTCTTCAGCGATCAGCCTTCTTTATGGTCCAGCTCTCATTTCCATAGTCTACAGATGGAGTCTACAGACGGAGAAAACTCCTGGGTGTACAGATAGGTGTACAAAGCCCTATGCAACTTGGGTCCAGAATATCTTAAGTATCATCTCAGTCCCAACATATCCAACTGATGTCTGGTGAGTTCTGGTTCAGATACTACCTCAGCTACAAACTCAGTAGGTGGCCTCAGGCAAACCACTTTATCTCAGCCTTATAGGGGGGCAAGAACAGCAGCCTACTTCATAAGCTGCTGTAAGAATTACTGAGGTGAAGTGCCTGGAGCCCTTGGAGCACCATGAAGCTTCCCTTTCAGACACTGAGCTCAAAGTTTCCTGCCTTCCTTAGTGCGCTTTGTTCCACTTGTCAGCTGAAATATTTTGCTGTACTTGCATTCGGGTTAATGTTTCGGAATAAGGAGAATTGGGCCAAGGGTCTTATAAATCTAGGCTGTCTAAACACTGAACACTTTGTTAGAGGAGAGCAGGATAAGTAAACAAGTACAAAGTTATGGGTTTTAATGTAATTCTTCTCATCTTTCAGAGCTTTTCTGCCCGTAGAGCCCCACAGAAACATAATCTTCTGAGGAGATTATTTCATTTTAGTTCAGGGTGGCTTTTACTCTGTTAAACAATTAGTGATTGTTTAAGTTTCTTTAGCCAATTAGCACTTGTCAGGGAACTGCCATCGGAAGGAAGGGAGGTGAAAGGACTCAGACAGGCTGGAAGAGATTCAGCAGCTGAAGAGGGAACCAGCAAGGGGAGAGAAGCTGAACTGAGGGAGGTGAAAGGGCTCAGACAGGTTGGAAGAGACTCAGCAGCGGAAGAGGAAACCAGCAGGGGAGACAAGCTGAACTGAGGGAAAGGGAGCTGGGGGATGGCTCAGAGATACTTCCAGCGAAAACAGTGGTGAGGTTTCCGGACCTCCTGTAGCGACACCCACTCCTCGCCGGAAACTGTCACGCAGAGAGTCCAGAAGACGTGTTTCCGTTAAGGAGCTTTTATGTTGGAAGCGATTACGAAAGCAACCACTGTCGGAATCTTCTAGTGACTAAGAGGAGCCATGTCAGAGGGGCTCAGTCACAGACAGAGGTTTGTGGACTTGAACAAACTCTGAGGGAATACGATTTTACGCACAAGCAGCTCATAATCCCATCACAGCATTCCGACAGTCTTTGAACGCAGCTTGTGCAGGAGACGGCATAATAATGAGCAACCCAGCAGGAACCGGAGAAGCAGGGGCTGGAGCGGGTCCAAGCCTGGAAGAAAGGTACCGGGTGTTAGAGGTCCAGCTGGCGCTGCAGACGGCGAGGCTGGAGGAGAGGAGGGCTCAAGATGCAGACAAAGGAGAAAGCCACCCAGCTCGCCAGAAAGGTACCAGGATTGGTGCAAAAATTTGGGGGGGAGCCCAAAGACTATCATAGCTTTCGGACAGAAATGCAATATGCCCTCAATCTGCAGTTTGATGATTTCCCTGATGAGGAATCACGAGTGGCTTTTGTGATTGGGCATCTTGAAAAGGGGCGAGAGACTGGGTTAGACCCCTGATGGCAGCGAATAGTGACGTCTTAAAGGACACGATGAAGTTCTTTCGCGCCATGGATCTGATGTTTTCCAGCGATATTGAAAAGGGAGTGGTGCGCAGACAGTTAATGGCTTGCAAACAGGGGAGCCGATCTGTACGTGAGTACTGGACTGAGTTCACCATGCTGATACACAGATTGGGGTGGGACTTATCGGCGGAACCCATTCAAATGCTCTTTGAAGAAGGGCTTTCTTCGGCTGTGAAAGATGAACTTTCCCGGGCGCCCAGGGCGGAGTCTATGGACCAGCTGACCAAATCAGCGCTGGCCATAGGAGCGCGCCAGGAGGCGAGAGCATTGGAGAGGCGGGAAGGGAAAGGGGAACGTTGGAAGGAGTTCCGCATTCCAGACATTCCAGAGCCAACTGTCCCGCCGGCAGAGCCGATGGAAATCGGAACAGCGCGCGCGCGCAGTTTCAAAGCCCAGTGAGGGTGGAAAGAAGGATGGAAAAGGCGCCCGGAAATGCTATCTCTGCCAACAGCCAGGGCACTTTGCCAGAGTCCGCCCCCAGAGGAAGGAATGGCAAGGGATGGTGGGAGCTGTGGAGGGAAGAGAGGAAACTACCGGAGCAACTAAAAGCCAACGCCTGGCTGCCATTGTCGGGGCACAGCAGCCAGGCCAAAGAGCAGTGAAAGTGCCCACTCCAGAACCTCCTAAACCCGCCCTAGTGATAGAAGTGACACTAGAGCTCCCAAACGGACACCCTCTAAAGATAAAGGCGCTGTTGGACTCAGGCAGCTCCTGCAATTTCATGAGCAAAGAGTTTGCAGCTGAACACCAGATACAGACGCTCCCTTTAAGCAACCCCTGCAGGTAACCACGATCGATGGCAGGGAGCTGTTGGGAGGAGAAGTCAGCTTGCAGACCGTCCCAATGATAATGAAGGTGGCAAGGCACACTGAACTGATAGCTTTTAATGTGGCCACCTTGGGAGGAGCTCCCATTATATTGGGGATGAGCTGGCTAGCGTTACATGATCCGCTGGTGGGCTGGCATCAGAGAGTGGTTTCTTTTGGGTCAGCACATTGCTTAGAACATTGCAAAGAGGGAAAGGTTTTGGCAGGGGCCCAAGCCACCCTAGCAGGGACTGAAGTGAAGGAGAACGTGAAGGTACCACGACAATACGCAGATCTCCGCGACGTCTTCAGCGAAAGGGAAGCTGACCAACTACCACCGCATAGAGCCTTTGACTGTCAAATCAATTTGCTCCCTGGGGCACAGCTCCCTGTGGGCAAGCTGTACGCCATGTCAGACAGAGAGATGCAGGAGCTAAGAGAGTTCATTGACAAGAACCTGAAGAGAGGGTTCATCAGAGAGTCCAGGGCGGTGGGGGCAGCCCAGTGTTTTTGTGGACAAAAAAACACGAACAAGCCGAGACTGGTGTGTGACTTCAGGGCCTTAAATGCAGTGTCAGAACCAGTGGCCTTCCCGATGCCCAGGATTGACGACATTTTGACAAGGGTGCGAAAGGGAAAGATTTTCACCAAGCTGGATCTAAGGGGGCGTACAACCTGATACGAATAAGGAAGGGGGATGAATGGAAAACCACCATGTTCACCCCTTTAGGGGCATTTGAATACTTAGTTATGCCCTTCGGTCTACAAGCAGGCTCCGCAACATTTCAATCGTTTATGAACCACGTCCTGGGGCCGTTGCTTTACAAGAATTGTGTGGCCTTCTTAGACGACGTGTTGGTGTATTCTGAGAATGAGGAGCAGCATGTGAGAGACGTCAGAGAAGTGTTGAGCAGGCTGCAAGCCAACCAGCTGTGGGTGAAACTGGAGAAGTGTCAGTTTCATACCAAGGAGGTGGAATTCCTGGGGTATCGCCTGTCTGACAAGGGGTTGGCCATGGATCCCGGCAAGGTCCAGGCGGTACTGGAATGGAAAACACCCAAAACAAGGAAGGATGTGCAGAGGTTTTTAGGGTTTGGGAACTTCTATCGTAAGTTCATCCCAAACTTTGCCCACCTGACGGCGCCCATTACGGACTGTCTCAGCAGTAAGAAGAAGTTCGTTTGGACGGAGGAGGCGGAGCAAGCATTTGAGGAACTAAAAGGGCCTTCGCCTCGGAACAACAGCTCCTGCATGTGGATTTACAAAAACCGATGAGAGTGGAAACTGACGCATCAGACAGAGCGGTTGGGGCGGTGCTTCTCCAGCCAGGGAAGGAGGAGTCAGAGTGGAGACCGTGTGCTTTTTTCGCGAAAGCTGAACAAATCCGAGAGGAACTACACGGTGTATGACCGAGAACTACTAGCCATTCATGAGGCGTTCCGGAGATGGAGGCACCTGCTAATTGGCGCACAACATAAGGTGCAAGTGTGCACTGACCACAAGAACCTAGAGTATTGGAGGACGGCACGAGTGCTCAACCAACGGCAAGTGAGATGGGCCCAGGAATTCTCCAAATTTAACTTTGAGATTTGTTACGTGCCAGGCCCAGAGAACATTAGGGCGGACGCTCTCTCACGCAAACCTGAATATTGGGAGGGGAGGAGCACCCGAAGAGAGACATGTCATTCCAGAGGACCGCTGGGTGTGTGGGGCGGCATTGGTGGGACAAAGAGAACTGGTAGAAGAAACAGAGAATGATGAATACGCCCAGAATAAGCTCAGAGGTCTTAGGGATGAGGGAGAGGAATCAAGGGGTTTCGAGGAAAGAAATGGAGCTTTGTATTACAAAGGGGCACTGTATATCCCTGAAGGAGACTTAAGGGGAGGGTACTCAAGCAGTTGCATGACAGCCCCACGGCGGGCATTTTGGGCAACACAAAACCATGTGGTTGGTCACCAGGGAATTTTGGTGGCCTAAGGTGAGGGAGGATGTACGTGAGTATGTAAGAGGGTGCGAGCAGTGCCAGCGAGCCAAAGGGGAAAGGCGGGCGCCGGCGGGGCTATTAGAACCCTTACCAACACCAGAACGACCTTGGGAGGCAGTGTCGATAGATTTTATGACTGATCTGCCGAAGTCCAAAGGGAAAACAGCCATCATGGTGGTGGTAGACCTACTAACAAAGATGTGCCACTTTGTAGCTTGCTCGCATGCAGTCACGGCGGAAGAGACAGCGAAGTTATTTGTAGAACACATTTTTAGGTTGCACGGGGTGCCATTGAGGGTGGTCTCAGACCGAGGAAAACAATTTACTTCCAGGTTCTGGAGGAAGCTCATGAGCTTACTGCAGGTGGAGGTCAACTTTTCGACTGCCCGGCACCCTGAAACCAACGGGCAGGCGGAAAGAGCAAACGGTGTCCTCCAGCAATACCTGAGGTGTTATGTCAATGACAGAGAGAATGACTGGGTAGAAAAGTTGGCGCTGGCGGAATTTGCCTACAACAATGCCGAGAATGTGTCCACAGGGATGAGCCCCTTCTTGGCTAATTATGGGTGTCATCCCAGGGCTTTCCCAGGGGAGAAGGGGAGAGATGGAGCGTACCGGCAGCCGAGCATTTTGTAGAAGAAATGGAAGCAATCCACCGTCAGCTCCAACTCAACTTAGAAAGGGCGAAGGAAGAATACAAGAGGCAGGCAGACAAGAACCGAAGGGAAGGTGAAACCATAAGGGTTGGAGATAGGGTGTGGCTGTCAACCCGAGGGTTGCCGTTCAAAGGAGGTTGTAAGAAATTACGACCCAGGAGGTTGGGTCCCTTTGAGGTCATTCAACAGGTCAACCCAGTGGCTTTCAGGCTCCGGTTACCCAACCACATGAAACTGCACCCAGTATTTCACAGGTCGTTACTGTCACCGTACGAGGGGGGACGAGAAGGGATGGACACTCGGGGACCGGTCATAGAAGAAAGAGAATGCAGCAGTCATGTGGCAGAAATCCTTGATGCCAGGTGGAAGGGGAATCAGGTGGAGTATTTGGTAGCGTGGGAAGGAGAACAATGGCCAAAGATATCAATGACGAGGTATTGATAGAAATGTTCCATCAAAGGTTCCCATGGAAACCTCAGCCTGTGGAGAGGTTCCGGAGGGAATACTTTGGGACCACTGAGGAGGAGGAGGAGTTGGAAGGATTCCCAGAATCGGAAGGGGAAGGGGAGATGGACTCGGAGGAGGAGGAGTGCTTCGAGACCAGGAACCGCAACAGGTGGAGAGAAGTGTTCGAGACATCGGAAGATGAAGGAAGTTCATCCGGGGTTTTGCCTCCTCACCGCCCGTAGAGGAGGGGGCGAGAGGGGGTGAAGGGGGCCCTGGAGGGGAGGTGGATGTCAGGGAACTGCCATCGGAAGGAAGGGAGGTGAAAGGACTCAGACAGGCTGGAAGAGATTCAGCAGCTGAAGAGGGAACCAGCAAGGGGAGAGAAGCTGAACTGAGGGAGGTGAAAGGGCTCAGACAGGTTGGAAGAGACTCAGCAGCGGAAGAGGAAACCAGCAGGGGAGACAAGCTGAACTGAGGGAAAGGGAGCTGGGGGATGGCTCAGAGATACTTCCAGCGAAAACAGTGGTGAGGTTTCCGGACCTCCTGTAGCGACACCCACTCCTCGCCGGAAACTGTCACGCAGAGAGTCCAGAAGACGTGTTTCCGTTAAGGAGCTTTTATGTTGGAAGCGATTACAAAGCAACCACTGTCGGAATCTTCTAGTGACTAAGAGGAGCCATGTCAGAGGGGCTCAGTCACAGACAGAGGTTTGTGGACTTGAACAAACTCTGAGGGAATACGATTTTACGCACAAGCAGCTCATAATCCCATCACAGCACTGATTTAGGATTTGGCAAGAGATGAGGGAATTCTTTAATTGACCCCCACAAGACAAGTCTTTGTTTCGACATCATGTGGTCACATGCAATTCCTGTCACAAATCCCTCCTTGTATTCTGATTAGTTAAACCTTCTCTTTCTTCCCCTTTTCTTTTTCTGCCTCAGGTTAGGTGAAAGTTTGCGATTTTTTTGGTCATGTTGTTATACTAATGATTATACCAGCTTAAAACCTCAATTTCTACTTAGTGTACTGTGGAATATTTCCCACGAAGCATCCCAAAGTGATTTACAGTATAATTAAAACATATATTAAACAGTTACATCTATAATAACATTTTTTTAAAAAAACAACACCCCAAAGCAAATAAAACAAGAGCACCTACATAAAATCAAATTTAGATATCAGCTGGGATAGACCTCCATTGAGAAGACGAACATCTTTAGCAGATGCCAAAATGCAATAGAGAATGCTTCTGTCTGATATAAAGTGGAAGGGAGTTCCAAAGGTATTGCGCGGAATTATGGTGGTATCTGAAGTGTGCTTTGTACTGCAGAATGCAGCAATCAGTTGAGTATGTTGGGAGTGGGAGGATATTTAAAGTATTCTGGTCCCTGTATATGACTTTGTACACCAATGACTAGATAGACAAATAGATAGACCATAGATGAAAGATATAGATGGATATACATTGCTTTGCATTTTCTTTTCCATGTGATAGAGTATTATTATTATTATTATTATTCTTAAAAACTGCTATTCAACCATATTGTCACTTTAACCCATAATCATTGGTATTAAAGATGCAGCTGAATAGATTGAACTCAGATGCCTTTCTAAATCAAAGCTAATTCATCTAAATTATACTTGTTTGTTGTGTACTCTGTACGCTAACTGAAGGGGTTTTTCTCACACAGGGTGGATAAAAGTGTATATAAATACATACATCTGCCACTGCTTTGTTGCATTTAACTAAATATGAGCACTGCAGGTGCTTGTCACTCATCCTCAGAAACTAAATATTCAAGAGGGCTACAGTCATTGCCGCCCACACGTAGAAGGGAATAGTGAAATGTCCCTTATTCCTTCTAATATGGCTTTCTAATTCTTCAGTATGGAGTTCTTGACCTTTGGAGGTGTGGGGGATAATATTGCTCCTGCCACTGCTGCTTCATTGCCACTTTCCTGCGGAGAGTCATTGTGGTATGGAAGGAGATGCCAGTGTAGTGCCCACCAGATCTTCTTGGGCTACAATTCATTTTACCTTTCCCATTAGCCGTGCTTGCGAGCTGTAGCATCTTAAGAAATTTATTGGGTCACAGCCTTTTGTAGTCTGGAACACGCTTCCTCAGACCCATAATAATACGGGGGTTGACAACCTTTTTGGAATGCTGGGCACATTTTGAGAGAGTACTGGGGGCGCCAGCCACAAAATTGCAGATGGGGTAGCGGTGGCATCACACGGCATTAAAGATACAGCCGTCCCCGCCAACCTTATGCTCACCATCAGTAGTCAGCTGTGACCTGCTGGTCCTGCTTGTGGAGATCACAAAATATTCATTTTACATATGTGTGCATGCACACTGACGCTGTTGTTGTCCAACAGCAGCAGGGAGCATTCCTCAGTATTCAGTACAGTGGTACCTTGGGTTACATACGCTTCAGATTACATATGCTTCAGGTTACAGACTCTGCTAACCCAGAAATAGTGCTTCAGGTTAAGAACTTTGCTTCAGGATGAGAACAGAAATCATGCTCTGGTGGCGCAGCAGCAGCAGGAGGCCCCATTAGCTAAAGTGGTGCTTCAGGTTAAGAACAGTTTCAGGTTAAGTACGGACCTCCGGAACGAATTAAGTACTTAACCTGAGGTACCACTGTACCAGTATCACTGCTTAGAAGGTGCCTGCACATTTTGGCCCTTAACTTTCTTTCTAGGAGAGCTAGAGACTTTTTTTTTTAAGAATAATTTTTTATTAACCGACCAATCACATCAAATCAAACCAAATTACATAAATTCCAAATTACACAGCCGAATTTTAAATTTTTGTTGGGGGTACCCATATTTCAAGTTCCGAAGGGATCCAATCAACTTCTTGCTTCTTACTGCTGTTTTAATGTCCACAAATCTAACCTTATGATGTTCACAGTACTATCCAGTCCTTTCTTATTATTTTCCACATCTCTTGTTGTTATTTTCATATATTTTTCCTTTCTCTTTGTGACCTCTGATAGTCTCCGCAAGCTGGTTAGAACAGTTTGTAATCCTGCGTGGATATTATTATTTTTATCCAGTAGCCATATCCAGACGTTTTCCATATAACATCACTTCCATACATCAAAACAGTCTTAGCGTCATTAATCTTCACCAATCTGCCTCCTTTCTCAAAACCTCTGAGGAGATTCACTAGGAATGCAGTCTGAAAACAAGTCCATTCTTCCTCCCGGCTATAAATCCTTTGGCAAGATGGCGACTCCGAATTAATTGCTGCGCCATTCCCAAAAGCTCTTATTGCTTCTCGGTCTCCATAAAGCATACTTTTGGTTAAAGTTTATCTCCACACAGACCTTAATCATCCTGCTTGGGTCAGTTCAACCGACGGTTCTAATGAGGAGGGGTTCTTGTAAATCACATAGAAGGAAAGTAAAAAAGGTTCCCACCCCATTCAGCCCCGTTGTCAACATACCCCGCCTTTGGTGTATCTTCATCGTAAAATATTCCTGTTTCTCCAGCCCGTCGTCTTCTTTCGCAGAGGTCACTTAAATTAGCAGACTTCACTCCCCTTCTTCACTTGAAATATGTGCATTTGCTTCTTTTGTAATTAATTATTCCAAATTGCTGCAACTAGTGCGCGATCAGAGACAGCGTCCAGGAGAGCCGAGGTCCACACGGGGCATTCTGCCTAGGGCCCTCACCCCCTTCTTTCAAATTAGGGGTGATTTATGGGCACAGCAGGCAAGGGCAGTGTTCCCCATTTCCTTGGGGCAACAAGGGAGGCTGCCTACTCCCATAACAGCCTCTTAATTACCCCGTGTGGGTCGGAGAGATGGTATTGTCGGCCATCTTCCAATGCGCCCCCTAGTGGCCCAGGAGAGCTAGAGACTTGATTTATTTACATTTTTTTTTAAAAAAAAAATTAAATTTCAGAGTCTGGGACACCTGCCCAGGGGCACAGTGAAAGACTTTGGCAACACCATGGGGTCCACAAGCACTGGGTTGGTGACACCTGATCTAATAAGTAGATTCCAGCCTATTCAATCTTGGGCCACAAAAATGTGTCTGCCCTTAAGGCATTACAAGATGCCACTGCATGCTCCCCCCCCCCCACAAAAAAAGTTCACTTGCACCCTCTTGAAAAAGGCAATGCAGACTAGCTCTGTTTTCTTTTTCACTTCGAAATAACAAAATTCAGGAGGTGCTTTCAGTGCTAATTAGGTGGCTGACAATTAAAATATCTTGAGAGCCTCTGCTGTCTTCCTGACAGTCCACCTCTTTCCTGGAAAGTTAACGGTGTATCTGCCTGAGTGATAGGTCTTTTAAATCTATGGTCTACTAAGCTAGAAGCCATGGTTACATTTCACCTTGTCATAGTAGTCTATAATTGCAGGGAACAGCATATTATGGCTTCTCCCTCAGGACAGCAAAACTGATTAAAAGGATGAGAGCAACTAGCACAAGCACTATTCAAACACAGAACCCTCTTGAGATTCAGCAACTGAAATAATCCACCGCATAAGAGGTGGGGAAAGTGTGATTGCTATACAAACATAGATACATACATAATGCTTAAGTATTGAATTTTTGCTTCCTTCCCCCCCCCAACCTGCTCTTTATTTATTAAGGCATTGTGTCTTCCTCCCCTCTAGATCTCAAGTCCAAAAGCATTGCTGAGCTGGTCAAAGAAATTGTAAGAGAGCAGGTGAAAGCATCCCAGAGTGAAACACAAGAGGCAGTGGCCCAGATTTTCAAGATTACGTCTGGTCTGTCTGCAGATCTTGAGAACATCAAACAAACGATCAAAAGCTTGAATGCTTCTCACAACAAATTGGCTGCGGAGATAGAAAGCAGGCCCACGAGGGTAGAAATCCTAGATATAAGGACCCAGATCCTCCATATTGAAGAGGATATAAGCATTACATGTGAGAAGCCAATCGAAGACCTGCAGGAACATCAGAGGTCAATAGAAGCTGCCTTGGAGCATCAAAGTTCAAGGAGCAACATATACTATGAATCTCTGAACAGGACTCTGACTCAAATGAAAGAAGTGCATGAACAGCTGTTGACAGCTGAACGGATTTCAGACCAGAACATCCCAACAGCAGGGAACTCCATAACCGATAACCTTACAGATTACATGGTTGGTCTTCATGAGAAAGTGAAAACACAGAGTCTGATGGTTCTGCAGCTCTATGATGACCTCAGAGTCCAAGACAGCAAGATCAGTAATCTCACTGTAGCACTGGAGATCCAGAGAGATAACTTACATGGAGAGTGCAGCAGCATATTGTCCAAATGCCGGCGGGACTTCCAAACACGACTGAAGGGCATGGAAGAGAACATGCACTCCTTAAATAAAAGCATGGAGAACCTTGTGTTTCCCTTGGATGATAAGATGGACAAGATGAACGAGCAAATTAATGACCTCTGTTACGATATGGAGATCCTCCAGCCTTTGATTGAGCAAGGGGTTCCCTTCAGCCTTACATCGGAATATGAGCAACAGATTGCAATGGAAGCTATAAGCAGAAAGCTGGAAAATTTAACCAGTGTTGTGGCAGGACTAAGTTCCACCACTGAAGAACTCGTCAAAAGCAAGAAGGAGCTTAAAGATGAGGCTCAGGCTTACAATGAAATCTCTGAGAGGCGTATTAATGAATGTTTCATTTTAATGGAGGATGGCTTAAACAAGACCATGATGGTTATCAACAGTGCCATTGATACTATCCAGGATAACTATGTGCTCAAAGAAACATTGAGTACCATGAAGAATGAAACAAAGGCCTGCTGTAGTAGCGCTGAGAAGATGGAAAGCATATTGACATTAATACCTCAGTTTCAAGAGATGAATGAATCCCTTCAGGTGCTAGTCAATGAGAACAGGAAAGGTGGCTTTACTTCAAATGCCATCCATTCTTCTTCTTCATCTGGTGATGTCATCACAGTTCACCATAATCTAAATGCAACATTAAACCTGCAAGAGCATCATCCTGACACTGGCCACCTGGATGGAAAGGGGTCACGCTCCACTCAGGAACATGAAGATTATGAAGGTCGCCTGGCGGCAGTGGAAGCAAAAATAACCAAGTTTTTAGCAAACAACTGCGTCACAGTAAGAAACATCAAAGCTGCTTCCACGGAAAAGGATAAAGTGATCTCTCTTCAGGTTCAGGCCTTGAGTTCCAGAATCAGGGCGCTAGAAGCCAAATCCATACGCTTCTCTGTGACCATCCCTGTGTTAAACAAGACTGCCTATGAAGCACGGAGCTTGTGTGAGGTTGTCTCCGGAAGCCTGAAGGGAATGAATGCCAGCATCCCCAGGTTAGTGAAAGCCGCTCACCCAGACAACTTGCTGTTTCAGAAAGGCTTGCAAGAGCTCACAGAATCCATGCTGGAGGTCAAAGCAGGAACAATCCTATCCAATCTAACCTGGTATGTGGATAAGTCTCTAGATGAGGCAGTGGACACTATTACCAAACGTCTGAAGGCAACTCCTCCTGTTTCTAAAAAGCCACCGCCAGTGAAAAAGATCCCAGTGAGCACGACCGCAAACCAGGCTGGACGAATGCAGAGAAACACAGACACTGCTTCAGAAGCAGGTAAGGCTTTTTAATATTACTACTAGTGACGTTGCCCAAACTTGCAACTTAGCCACACGGATTTGTGTAGGGACATAGGAAGATGCCTTATGGCAGCCTTTCTCAACCTGTGGGTCCCCAGATGTTGTTGAACTACAACTCCCATCACCCCTAGCTAGCAAGGCCAGAGCTCAGGGATGATGGGAGTTGTAGTCCAACAACATCTGGGGACCCACAGGTTGAGAACCACTGCCTTATGGGAAGTCCATCTAGGCCAGTATTGTTGACACTGGTTGACACTGACTGTCCAAGGTTTCAAGCAAGGGTCCTTCTCAGTCCCTTGTGGAGATGTCAAGAGCTGAACCTGGGACCTTTTGCATTCAGCGCCTGTGCTCTGCCACTGAACCATGGCCCTTCCCAAGAATCAAATATTATGTTCTTCAAATGCTCTTGGTGCGGAGAAATCATTTCATCCCCTGGTCCACTTGGAACTAGCTGGCAGAGGCCATAACTAGTACATATAAAGCACATCACGCCGCCACCACCATTCTGAATCCAGTTAAGACCCAAGTTCAAATCCCCAGCAAATCTAGGTGGCCCCATGGGAATGGTGAAAAGGTGGGGGGCCCACAATTCCTGCATGTGACATTGGCATCGCTGTCAGGAGGGCAACTCTGTGGGTCGCCCCATTGCACCATTTGGTCCTGTGGAATCTCTGTTCCTGTGTCTTCTGTTGAATGGTGATGGCAGAAATTAAGCTTCACACAGGGGTTAGTAAATTAACTGCTGTTTGTGGGGCTTTATTTAGCCCTCTGGCTCTCTGTAAGCCTGCAGAAGGGTCTCGCCAAGGGAACAGAGGAAGTGGAGAATGTGCAAGGTGGGTTGTGCTTAAGGAACAGCGTACAGTTAATTCACTGTGGCTGAACAGCCCATTGTTCCATGGTGCTCTGGGGAAATCTAGTCAAATTGTTATGGAGTGTAAGGATGGAATTTGCATCCAGGTCCCTAATTTAGCAGGAAAGGATTGAGTGCGCTTTGCAAGAGGACTGTGGAAACATGGAATCCAGGTCAATCCAGACCAAATTAGCACTAGTTTTTATACCGACCAAATAATCTGAGATCAAATTTAAAACGATATTTCAGGAGAGAAACCTTTGACAAAACGACATTGTTTTGTGCACAATAAGGTAAATTGGTGAATGGCAAAGGCATTTTTATTCTTTTATGTCCCCCGTCATCTTTTTCTTTATTTCCATTCCTTCCACCTCGGTGCACACGCTCAAGACATGCCTCGAGTCAAGTGCTTGCAGTTCATCTGATAATCAAGCACGCAGGAAGTTTAAAGTGGATTGGGGCTTCAATAATGTTTCCACTTTATTTCATATCTCGCTGCTTACTCATTCTGCCTTAAACCGCTGGAAGCATTTTCTGCGCAGCAGTGAAACAGCAGAAGTCAGCAGCTGTGTGGATGAAGTGCCTCGGCCTTTTTTGTGGGCTGAACAGCATCTTTCCATGCGAAACTTTACCGTGTTCCAGCCAAAGCTGCTCCTTCACAACAGGCAGTATTGCATTCAACGCATATATGTGACAAAGATTATTTCCAGGACAGTGGGAAGTGGGAGTGGAAATATGAAGCTACCTCAGTCCGCTGGTCCATCTAGCTCAGTATTCCTTATTGGCTTTCAAGGATCTCATGTAGGAGTCTTTTTTCACAACTGATACCTGACAGTCTTTAACTGGAGATGACAGGGGTGGAATCTATGCTTTTCTGTTTGAAAGCCATGTACTTCACCAATGATCTATGGCCCAATGAATTGTTGCAGTGTTTTGCAGTGTTTCTAGAATATTCTATTCTGTTCATAGATTCATAGGATTGTGGAGTTGGAAGGGACCCTGAGGATCATCTAGCCCAACCCCTTGCAATGCAGGAATATGCAGCCGTCATATACGGGGATCGAACCTGCAACCTTGGCTTTATCACCACCATGCTCTAATCAACTGAGCTATCCAAGTGAAGAGAATGTGTTCTTTTCTCTAGGTCAGGGGAGCCAACACAGTGCCTTCGAGATGTTGTTGGACTATCACTCTCATCATTCCTGACCATTGGCCGTTATGGCTGAGACTGATGGGAACTGGAGTTCAACAATATCTACATTGCTTACCCCCATCCCTAAGTTCTTGCATAGCCTGCTGGTTTATGGTTCCCTATTGGTGCTTCCTTAATCAACGCTCATGGCCCATCGGGGAAGAAAGCTGTACTAACTTGCAAAGGTGAGGGTTGAAAGGAGCAGGTTGCATGTTTTAAAATATGGGCAGAGAAGGAAGAAGGGCCATGAGCTTTTGGAGCTGGCTAGCCAGAGCCTAGGGCTTGCCAATCAGAAGGTTGGCAGTTTGAATCCCCATGACGGGGTGAGCTCCCGTTGCTCGGTCCCTGCTCCTGCCAACCTAGCAGCTCGAAAGCATGTCAAAGTGCAAGTAGATAAATAGGTACCGCTCCGGCGGGAAGGTAAACGGCGTTTCCATGCGCTGCTCTGGTTCGCCAGAAGTGGATTAGTCATGCTAGCCACGTGACCCGGAATCTGTACGCCAGCTCCCTCAGCCAATAAAGCGAGATGTGTGCCCCAACCCCAGAGTCAGTCACGACTGGACCTAATGGTCAGGGGTCCCTTTACCTTTACCTTAGCAATAGGCAGTCATGGTGGAGCTCAAGAATGCTATATGCTTTTGAGCAGACTGCTACTGCTATGTCTCTAACTCTGTGAGCGAGTGCACCTATCTAAGATGGTTGGATGGCACCTTGTACGCCTCCTTCCAGCAACTCCTGCAGCTAAACTAGTGCCGAACATATTGCTCTGCTTTCCTTTGGACCACATCCGTGAGTCATCTGGGAAGCCCAGGACCTTCATACACACTATCCAGGCTTGCACCCCAGAGTGGGCATTTTGGTGCTGTTATTGCAGCTGTTTGACTTTACCCCTGAAGACACACTCCATGGGCACCTGAGACAGACAGATGCCAACAACAAGTCATACCAGAATTGCCAAATTATCTATCTGGAATCCTTATACCAGAGTTCCAGCTTTGTCTGGGCTTCAATCAGAACTCTCAGACAGAGGGGGAGAGTGGTGGAAAACCCCTCCAATCTTACCATCCTCCTGCCACCTTCTCCCCTTTGTCTCTTGCAGCAGGGCTACACCTGAAGAAACCGTCACAGGAGGGGCAGATGACTCTGGTTCCTTCCTGAGCAATTTCTGCCCTGCTTCAACAGACACCTGCTGTCTATCGCACCACCTAGCCTAGTTTAAACAGGTGGAGATTCCCCTTTCTCTGCTCTCTCTCTCCCAACCCCTTCCCCTCAGCGTTTTTCCACTCTAATTCCCCAGCCACACTGCCAGCAGAGAGCAGCCCGAGATTTACATATTCATTCATTAATTAATAGTATTTATGTGCCACCCATTAACCAAGTACCCTGAGCAGCTTACGGTAACAATAAAAAAACCATATAAAGGTACAATTCTAAACCACAAAGTAGAATGCATAATGCAGCATTAAAAATTTCAGCAGCGGCAGCAGAGAATAAAAAGAACCCTCTCCGATGACAATTCCGAGCTTTACCTTGGCAAACTGAGAGGGGAGGAGGTGATCTCCTCCAACACTCTGCTGCTGTTGCTATAGGTGGTGTTGCTGTGGGGATGGTGGGGGCAGGGAGGCGAGGGGACCAGCCCTCGATGGGTCAACAAAAGCTTTAAGGCAAAGAAAGCCACCTCTCTCTTTAGCCGGTCTGACACTCTCCCACTCCCACTTTTACTACATGGTAGGAACTGATATCAGGCTCCCCACCACCCGGGGGGGGGGGACCCAGTTGGCATTATAAGCAGTGCACTGCCCTGATAGAGATGTCAGAGGATTCCATCAGAAATGAAAATGGGAGCAGAAATTCCATGGGGGTTCAGGGAAACATGAGATGGTTTGGTGGGCTGAAGCAGGAGGCAGGGACAGAAGGGGCTTTGCCCCCCTCAATATTTGCTGGCAGGGGGGCAAGCCCCCACCCCAATATCGAGGGGCCCCAAACACACCAGCCTCCAGCCTGCAAACAGCCTCCCTCTGTGCTCCCCATTCCTTCCGCTGATGCAACATCGCAGATGCATCAAGCGTCATGCGCACGATGTCACACTCACACGACATGTACTGGGCCCCCCAATCTTGGGCACAAGTAATGCCTCTGGTACAATACCTCTTGAAACAGTCGTGCCTTTCCCCCCCAAAAAATCCTGGGAGCTGTAGTTTGGTCAGAATGCTGAGAGTTGTTAGAAGACTCTATTCTCCTTACAGAGCTATACCACTGAGCCTCTTGGACTTGCTCATCGGAAGGTCAGCAGTTCAAATCCCAGCAACGGAATAAGCTCCTGTTGCTCTGTCCCAGCTCCTGCCAACCTAGGAGTTCAAAAGCACACCAGTACAAGTAGATAAATAGATACCGCTGTGGCGGGAAGATAAACAGTGTTTCTGTGCACTCTGGCTTCTGTCACGGTGTTCCATTGCGCCAGTAGTGACCAGTCATGCTTGCCGCATGACCCGGAAAGCTGTCTGTGGACAAACGCCAGCTCCTTCCACCTGAAAGCGAGATGAGCGCCATACCCCCATAGTCGCCTTTGACTGGACTTAACCGTCCAGGGGTGTGATTGATTCTTAAACCACTCTGTAAACTGTAAGTCTGTGATTCTAGATTCAGGTAGGTAGCCGTGTTGGTCTGACGCAGTCGAAATAAATAAGAAAATAAGAAAATTGTCCAGCAGCACCTTAGGGACCAACTAAGTTTGTTCTGGGTGCATTTTGTGTGCATGCACACTTCTTCAGATTCTTCTGTGAGTACTCTTAATGAACTACAGCTCCCAGAATTCTTTGGGTGAAGACACAACTGTTTAAAGTGGCAGCACAATGATTTAGATGTATGGTTTGAATGTGACCCTAAAGTCTCCCATGAACAGCTTGCACCTGGGCAGCAGACTGAGCAGGCACATACAGGTCCACACTTACCCATTATGCTGAGGTGTATTTCTATTTAAATTCTAGTACATTATGTCTAATGTTTGCATGGATAGATATAAATTAACACATGCACATTTTATGTAAATTGGTGTCTTCTCTTTTGGTGATGCCAAAATGGACACTCTAATTGCCTATCTTCATTCTCTCTCTTCTCTAAGGTAACCCATTTTCACAGATTTTCTTCCAGGGTTAGTCTATTTCTCTTTGAGAGAAGGAGAGGTGGACATATAGGGAGAAAGAGCAATTGGAGGTCAGTGCGAGGGAGAGGCTTGAGTTTTCTTTTTCCAAATTTTTTTTGTCTCCAGGCTTTCTAAACCACCTGCCGCTCCGACCCCTAAACCTTCCCCCCTTCTACTCCCATAGTCTGAGTCTCTTTAAACCCAACAAGCCTTCTGGGGGAAATGGAGGCCACAAAATATTTATTCATTCTTACATTTGTGCCTCACTATTCCACTAAAGAGTCTACATGGTTCTCCTCCTCTCCATTTTATCCTTGCCATGACACCCCTGTGAGGTAGATTAGGCTGGCCTGACCGAGTGAGCTTCGTGGTTGAGTTGGGATTCGAACCCTGGTCTCCCACCGTCCTAGGCTACCCAATATGCCACGCCGGCTCTCAAAAATGTTTAGCTGTAAATGCCAACCGCATCCGGTGGCGTCCCAAACACCGAGGCGTCCACTGTTGCTTTGTTGTTGTTCGGTGCCAAAGCGCCTTTGTGAACGTCTTTTGCACTCTGAGTTTTAATTGCGAGAGATTGATCGTTACCCTAATTCAGTTTGACTCTCCATGCTTCAACTTTGCATATTCAGTGCAATAGGGCAGGAGACAGATGAAAGGGGTTTTTGTTGTTGTTTGCAATTTAGCGCAGAGGGAAAGCACTGACTCTGTCTCGGAAAAAATGGAATAGCTAAAAGAGCAGCAACTTCTTATTGCTGCAGTACCAGCGGCCCTCCCCAAACCGAACTCTTGTCAGCGGGAGAGAGGGCAGTACATGCCATCCCTGCTCATTCAGTCCTTAGGTCCCCTTAGGTGATGGACAAAAATAAGCCGTTCGGCCATCCTGAAACAAATTGAAATAGCTTCCCATCATTATTACATTGGTTCACAGACTATTGAGACAGAGGCAATGTGGATCTTTTATTTACACAGAGCTGATATGTGGCACACTGGCGGCCTCAAGGCATCGCCACACGATGCACATAGCATACCCTGCAACATCCCCTCAAAAAGCTCGACTTTTGTGTCCGAATTTTTTACTTCTTGAAATATGGCAACCCTACTCCACCCCCAATAACCAGACAACATTCCACGTTGTCTGAGCTCCTTTCGGATTACTTTTGTCCTCTCTCACACATCTCTTTCCGTTTCCCGCTACACACACCACTAAAGAGGATGGCCCATTTGAGCCTGGATAGCTCAGTTGATTAAAGCGTGGTGCAGGTTGCAGGTTCGATCCCCGTATGAAACAGCTGCATATCCCTACATTGCAGGAGGTTCAGTGGTTCTCAACCTGTGGGTCCCCAGATGTTGTTGGACTACAACTCCCATCATCCCTGAGCTCTGGCCTTGCTAGCTAGGGATGATGGGAGTTGTAGTCCAACAACATCTGGGGACCCACAGGTTGAGAACCACTGGAAGGTCCTTTCCAACTCTACAATTCTGTGATTCTATGTAGAGGATAAACTCCTTATTAGTATGTAGAACAAGTGGGACCTGCAACAAAATGTTGCAGTATGAAATCCTCCTGATCAGTGTTCCAGTCAATCCACAATGACCGCGTCCAAGACACTTCGTTTCATTCCTGTTCCAACCCATCCATTTCTCTCTCTCTCTCTCTCTCTCTCACACACACACACACATGCACACACAGAGCCAGTAGCATTCTATGGCTACTGAGCATGCTCAATCTTCATTGGGCTGTCTTGAGATATGGTTCCTCACCCCCTTTTTTGGTTTCTCACTCCCCCTGAAAAGCAGGACAGATGATCACACTAGAGAGGATAGGCCAAAGAGGGCTTCAAATGATGTAAAGGAAATTCACCTTAGTGTGGTACAGTGGTTAGAGTGGCAGACTAGGACCTGGGAGACCAGAGTTCAAATCCCCGCTGAGCTAGAAGCTCATGATTGTATACAATAAATCTCTGTCCACAGAGACAACTAGATCACTGTTTTGGGTTTCTCTTTATCTTCATCATATCTTCATCTTTTTATCATATGGAAGTTGCAAGTGCCAGGGGTGTGGCTTTAGGGCGCTGCCTAGGGTGGTAGTTGACACACTGCCCGAAAAAGAGGATATGCACCACTGTAAAAGAGGACCACCAATCTGCATAGAATTTGCATGTGCTAATTTATATGCATCTAAATGCAAATTTGAAAATAATTAGCAGAATTTGAATTTCACAGAAGGGAAGCCAATTACTTACCCATGCAAATCACTCCCCTCAAATCTTTAAATTGATTTGCACCCCAATAAGATCACCCAAATAAGTTCTTACTCAATTAATTTATCACCGAGATCATCCAGAAATCAATCTGAAATCAATTTCCCTTTATTAACTACCCCCATTCAATTCAATCATCACATCATTACCCCACTAATAAAATTCAAAATAAATAGGGCGCACATTGTGATTCCCTTCAGGTGGTGGGGGGGATTTTTATTGCTAGTCAAGGTGGCCAGTGGGTGGTCTCTCTTTTCCTTTTCTGTCCCCACCCACATTAAAATAGAAGGCAAATTAACTCGGTGTAGGGGCAACCATCTCTCTCTCTGTGTGTGTAACAAATTCCCTGGAAAGGAAATGAAAATTGCCCTTCTGAGATGCAGACGTTGAGGTTTCAGCTCACAGAGCATCAGCAGTGAGTCTTTCTTTCGGCTCAAGTAAGTGGGGGGAAAGAAGAAGGAGAAAGCTGGACCATCCACTGGCACATCATCTCCTCCCGTGTCTCTGACACTGGGCATAGGGAAAATCTATTCCTGGATATCCATTTAAATATTGGGCTATTTCATAGGAGAGAGGACACCTTACCATGTTGTCCCTGCCCCACTCCTTCATCCATGCGCTAGCATACGCTTGCAGGAGACTAGAATGCACATTTATGTATCACAACAAAATAGGAAATGCATCGCTGGTGAAGAGGGTGGATATTTACATAAAACTTGCGTATGCTAATCTATGTGCGTGGGAGCCAATTTAGAAAGTTATTTCTGTATAGGCATAGCTACAAACTTAGAAATGATGGCTGTCATTTAAAGAGTAAAATACAGCACATCTCCATAGTGGGGAAGATAGTGGCTAGGGGGCTCATGTGCCTGCTCAGTTCAGTTCTAAAGTCCTCACACTTCTTTCTTTTGGTACTTCTTCTTTACACCAGACTTGGGCTGGACAGCCCTTCAAAGGAAAGACTGTCCTACAGGTCACAGTAGTGGGGATAAGCTGAAGAAGGGACTCAGAATGATGTCAAGGAGATATAATTTAGCTTACACTTTCCCCATGGTGTTGTGTAGTGGTTAGAGTGCCAAACTAGGGCCCTCGAACCTAGGGCAAACTAGGACCACGGTTTCAGCCAGTGGGGTGAGGACAGTCCAACCCAGCCACTGCCCCTCAGCCTAACCTACTTCATAGGGTCGTTGTGAGGATAAAACGAGGGGGGCAAGAACCATGCACTCCTTGGAGGAAAAGGCAGTATATGCATGTCATAAATACATAAATGTGATGGGATTTTTGTTGCTGCTGCTGTTGTTATCAGGCAGCCTTAACCAAGCATTTTCCTTCCAGATGTTTTGGGCCACAACCCCAGCTGGCTGGAGTTGATGGGAGTTGTACAGTGGTGCCTCAGGTTACATACGCTTCAGGTTACATACACTTCAGGTTACAGACTCCGCTAACCCAGATATAGTGCTTGAGGTTAAGAACTTTGCTTCAGGATGAGAACAGAAATCGTGCTCCGGCGGCAGAAGGCCCCATTAGCTAAAGTGGTGCTTCAGGTTAAAAACAGTTTCAGGTTAAGTACAGACCTCCAGAACGAATTAAGTACTTAACCTGAGGTACCACTGGAATGTGAAACATCTGGAAGGAAAAAGCTTGGTCAAGGCTAACATGAGGCATCTCCCATTTATGTGACCCTTACCTGTGGCCTGAAGCCATGCTGTCCAAACCTAGGTTTGCCCCCACAGTGAGAACATGCAGTAGCACCTGGTGTGTATGTTGATTTCCTCCAATATCTGGGCAAACCCTAAATATGAAGCTAAGTGAGGCAGCTTTTCCTCTTCTTCTCTTGGCACTCGAACTGCACTCCTACATTGCTTTATCCTGAGCCTTATTGTTGTGATAGATGAGATGCAATGTGTTCGCGGGGGGAAAGCAGCGAGAGAAAATAATTACTTAAGTCGGACAGAAACTCCTTGGCGTGTTGCAGTCCATAAACCTCATCTGTCTACCCCCAGGAGCAGTGTGTTGTGGGGGGAGGTCCCCCCCACTTTGCGCAAAGCGCACAAAGCTTTGCATTCAGCCTGGCAAGCTCAAATCCATCACCGTCGAAGTGCTGCGACCGAGGAGCGCCATGGCATCTGAAATGACTGGGCTGGAAATTAAAGATAGCTCAGAGTGCCGATGAAGTGCCTGTGAAAAGAGGCAATTCCACACATCTGCCGGCAATCAGCGCTTATTCTGAAACACCCTTTTCATCACCCCACACCTAGCCTGCTTCTTGAGCGTTCCTGGGCTTTCTTTCTTTCAAGTTTCAGAGGCCGGCCCACTTGGCAATCTCATCGCAAGAATGTGCATACCCCTATTGTCACTGCGTAGGACTCTTAAGAGCTGGAATTGTTGAATAGTCTCCGGCAATTCAATTTGTCTAATCCCCAGATGACAGAGAGCTGTGATTTACAGTGGACAGTTCAAGGGGAAAGGGGAATTGTCCCTCACACTTCAGCCCGGTTTATCCATGGCATAGAATCAAGCGATAATCAAGTTTTACTGTGATTGTACCTCTTCAGTCTGTAGGGATGCGGGTGGCACTGTGGGTTAAACCACAGAGCCTAGGACTTGCCGATCATAAGGTCGGCGGTTTGAATCCCTGCGACGGGATGAGCTTCCGTTGCTCGGTCCCTGCTCCTGCCAAACTAGCAGTTCAGAAGAACGTCAAAGTGCAAGTAGATAAATAGGTACCACTCCAGCGGGAAGGTAAACGGCATTTTCCTGTGCTGCTCTGGTTTGCCAGAAGCGGCTTAGTCATGCTGGGCACATGACCCGGAAGCTGTACGCCGGCTCCCTCGGTCAATAAAGTGAGATGAGCACCGCAACCCCAGAGTCAGCCACGACTGGACCTAATGGTCAGGGGTCCCTTTACCTTTACCTTACCTCTTCAGTCTACGGCAGGTGGGATAAATCTTTGGCCCTGCAGATCCTGATGAACTGCAACCCCCATCGGACCCTGCAAGCATGACCAACATCCAAGGATGATGGAGTTGTAGTTCACCAACATATGGAAGGTTCCCCACACCTGGCCTACAGATAGAAGCAGAGCCGGCCGGCCTTTGAAGTAGGGTGAGGTAGCTGCCTCAGGCGGCAGAAGCGCAAGATATGGTGGTCCCCTGCCCCACCGCTTCTGCCACCAGCAGAATGCCCCCTCTCACTGGAAGCGTTCCAGTGTGTGGCGTTGTCTTCCCCACCCCTCAGTGATGGGGAGGGGACATTCCAAAGCACCATGTTGCCACTCGTCTTCCCCACTCCTGGGGCAAAGAGGTGAGCATCAAAGCCTTGTGGAAATCTCACCGAGTTTGGCAAGCATGTGTATGTTCTGGCATGCAGAGGAAGTGGAGGGCAGCAGTGTGGGGGCAGGAAGCGGTACATTCCTTTTTTCTCCTCAGGTGGCGAAACAGGGTGGGTCGCCCGTGAATAGGAGCTCTTTAGTACTTGCTAGTTTGTAAGGTGGCAGAGGGACAGGCACACTTACTTCTGCCATGTCTATAATGCGTTATCGCTACACCAGCAATGGTCAAACTTGGCCCGCCAGCTGTTTTTGGACTACAACTCCCATCATCCCTAGCTAACAGGACCAGTGGTCAGGGATGATGGGAACTGTAGTCCCAAAACAGCTGAAGGGCCAAGTTTGGCCATCACGGCTCTACACAGACACCTGCATGTGTTGAGAGCCTTCTGCTGAAGTACACAAATGGTATGATTCAGGTTTCTGTATGTGCAGATGCCCACCTCACATGGCATATTATGACTGGTAGAACCTTTGCCCAATCTTTAATTTCAAGATGCTTCCAGCTCTGCCCTAGGATAATTGCATGGCCTGGGGCAAGCGACTCAAAGGGAGGTCCCCATCTGTAAAATGGGAGCAGGATTGTAAAGCGCTAAGTAGCATATAAATGAGGGATAAAATACTATTTGACAGTATGTTTCGACATGGAGGCTGGGACTGAGCGCTTCCCTCATGCCTTGGATTGGCAGAAATGAGGAGCAATTAGCCAGTCGAGACCCAGTCAGTGGCAGCAAGCAGTGTGTGACTAAATTCCCCAGTGGCAAATAATATTAAGCAAAAACACCACTACCACACAATCCTGGGAAATGGTGTAATTTATATGCAAATAAACAATGGTGGTTGTCTTTCTCCCCATATCACCTCTAACTTGAGATTCAAATACAGCTAGGGAAGAGTTGGGGTAGGAAGCTGCAATCTGGAAGTCTTTGCAAAGCCTTCCCCGAAAGCTCCTTGCTTCTGTGCCTTCATGTCCTTCTCTCCCATTCAATGCAGGTGATTATCTGAGCTGCAGCAGCTCCCCGTGCCAAAATGGGGGGACCTGTGTCAATGAGAGGAAGAGCTTTGTCTGCGCTTGCCGCTATCCTTTCGGAGGAGCCAACTGCAGCACGAAGATGGTGGCGGAAAACGCTCCTACAAGTATAGGCGAGTATAAGTACGACCTAAGCCATCCCTTTGCCTGTGCCTCTTCTGCTATAGATCAGAGATTACCAGACCCAAGTTCTCTCTCCTAGTTCCTCTCGACAAAAGCTCCCCAGTGCCAGAGTCATGGCTTTCTTTCTCTCCTTTAAAGCACTCGGTTCATGATGAGAGTCCGCAATCCCCCGTTTTGATGCGTCCCACATCACAAAGTATAAAATTTGATTTCTTTCACAAGCCTGTCCATAAAAAAAAATAATAGCAAGCAGCTCTATGGAGGGATTGAACAAGATGGTTGTCAGCCGAGCAGCGCTATCATAAATAGGCCAGAGCAAGCTGGCAATTTTTTTGTTACAGAGGCTGTGAAATTGCATTATTGGGAAATTACGCGTTTGACTAAGGCTGCGCCTTCCATTTCAAAATAAAAATAAATAAATAAATAAAGGCAACGGACATTCGAGGTCTGTGTGTGCAGCAGAAGTTCCTTTCTCACATTCCCTCAGGAGGGGAGAAAATGGAATTGGTGCCTCTTGCCTGTGGTTCTTCATGAGTTCAGGAAAGGGTGTGAATCGCACTAGTTTATGTACAATGAGATGCATGTTGGCTCTGTTATGTACTGAGTTCAATAGGATTCAGAATGCAGCAGTCTGATTGGTCCTAGAACAATAGGATCCAGAATGCAGCAGTCTGATTGGTCCGCAGGAGCCACCCAATCCAGCTCCAGGTGGAAGGGAATCCGCAACCTGATTGGCCTACAGGAGAATCCCAGAATTAGCCAATCACGTGGGGCCTACTCTGTAAATAATGTATATGAGGCAGACATTCTGGGGGAACTCCCATTCCTCCTCACCACTATGAGCTGAATAAAGAGCATGAAATCCACTCTCGACTTTGAGTATATTTCAGGCTCCATCTGCATAAAAGGGATCTCTGAAAAAGACTCATCCCTTCTTCGTGCAGCACATAGCTAAACTATGGAACACGCTCCGACAGGAGGCAGTGATGGCCAGCATCTTGGATGGCTTTAAAAGAGGATTAGACAAATGTAATCATTTCACCATGTTGCTTGTGACATGTTCTCAGCACCATAGGTGCTGGCTCCCTGGGGCCCTGGGTGCCCAAGCACCCACAAAATTCCCCACGAAGGGGCCGGGCACCCACAAATTTTGGCACCAGAGCCATGCACGCTGCATGGCACACACGTCCCTGGACACCCACGGTCGTGGGGCCAAGCTGGCACTCCTGCTCAGCTCCTTTGGACCATTTTGCAAAGTGTGCAAGCAACAACTCGGAGGAGACACTCAATAGGGAGCCTCAGGCAGTCTCATGAGGACAGGGTCAGTTCCACGGTGGGTCCCTCCTTCATCACTTGGCAACCCTGGCAAATGTCCCTGACTGCAAAAGCAGCAGCCAGTGGCATCAGCCCTCCAATGGATCCGCCATTTTTCATTTTCCACAGTGACTCCAATGAAGCATCTTTCTGGGGCATTCTGGGAAATTAGAAGAGGAGCTCCCAGGCTCAGCTGCCCAGGGCAGTCATTGGGGATGGGGGTAGAATCATAGAATTGTATAGTTGGAAGGGACCATGGCGGTCATCTATTCCAACATGTTGCAATGCAGGAATCTTTTGCCCAGTGTGGGGATACCTTGTGTTTGATCACAGTCACATCTTCCATTTTTAGGCATTCACCTCAAATTTATTAGATGTCTCCCTCCCAAAGTGATTTATGAAATGTCCCTTAAGTGAGTTACAACATTTGTAACAAAAATAATACAGTGGTACCTCAGGTTGCAGACGCTTCAGGTTACAGAACCTTCAGGATACAGACTCCGCTAACTCAGAAATAATACAGTGGTACCTCGGGTTAAGTACTTAATTCATTCCAGAGGTCCTGAAGCTGTTCTTAACCTGAAGCACCACTTTAGCTAATGGGGCCTCCTGCTGCTGCCGCGCCGCCAGAGCACGGCATCTCATCCTGAAGCAAAGTTCTTAACCTGAAGCACAATTTCTGGGTTAGCGGAGTCTGTAACCTGAAGCGTATGTAACCTGAAGCGTATGTAACCCGAGGTACCACTGTACCTTGGGTTAAGAACTTTACCTCAGGATGAGAACAGAAATCGTCCTTCGGCAGCACAGTGGTAGCGGGAGGCCCCATTAGCTAAAGTGGTGCCTCGGGTTAAGAACAGTTTCAGGTTAAGAACGGACCTCCGAAACGAATTAAGTTCTTAACCCAAGGTACCACTGTAATGTGGGAGGAATTTGTGTCTGGGTTTGAGCTCTCGCACCAACCTAGACTCTGCTCGTCCACAAATGTTCAGTTGAGCCATCACAGTGATGCTTGCTATAAAAATGAGCAAGCTGAGATTTGCATTCGGAATACATGAAATCTGTGTTTTATGCCTCTCTCAGCCACAATTTTGTCGTTTCTCAATCATTTTTTTACAGTGGTGCAGGCATTGGTTTATATGCTACGGGTGAAGGAAACGAAACAAAGGACATTTTTATTTCCCCATTTATTATTATTATTATTAAGCTTCCAAATCTCCCCAATCTTTGCTTGCGAGCAAAATTTCGGGCATATGCAAGCATGTTACATTTACAAAAATCTGTGACGCAGCCATTGGGGGGGAAGAGAATGGCATGAAAGCTTTTCTTCTTAATAATGCAGCACAGTCAAGACTGAAATTTCCTTGCTGTTTCCGAAAAAAAGAAGCATTTTTTCCCCCTATTGGTGCGTTTGACGCTAATTGTGGAGAAAATTGCTTTCTATACAGTACTTAAGAATTCATTCCGCTTTTCTTCTTTAGCTTCTTGAGAACTTGACAGGAGGCCTGGGGGGAAAGTTTACAACCACCCCTGTGTCTGCAATACAGAGTTGATCCCATTTAAATAGGCAATTCCGCTTGAGGAGAAAACAACAAAAGGCAGATCTGGATGTTATGGCAGACGTGGGGTGAACGTCGAAAATAGCAGCCCTACATGTAGATCTTCCTGCTCGCCTGTACTTACACTCGCTCCGTAACATGACAGCATTGTGCTGGTTTCCTCACCTTTTTGCTTTGTACTATTGGCTGCTGTGGGGTAGGCAGCAGGACAGGGTTCACAGTGAAGTAGAGGAGGGAGAAGGTGTCTTATCAGCCCAACGTATTTCAAGTCTTGTGACTCTTCCTCAGGCATAAAACAGCTAAACCAAGGATGAGTGGTTGTGACCTTTAAACCCCTAAATGGCTTCGGCCCTGTATACCTGAAGGACCATCTCCATCCCCATCGCTCAGCCCGGACACTGAGGTCCAGCACCGAGGGCCTTCTGGCGGTTCCCTCACTGCGAGAAGTGAGGTTACAGGGAACCATGCAGAGGGCCTTCTTGGTGGTGGCACCCGCCCTGCGGAACGCCCTCCCATCAGATGTCAAGGAAATAAACACCTATCTGACTTTTAGAAGACATCTGAAGGCAGCCCTGCTCAGGGGAGTTTATAATGTTTGATGTTTTATTGTGGTTTTTATCATTTCTTGGAAGCTGCCCAGAGTGGCTAGGTCAACCCAGTCAAACACGAGGCATATAAATAATAAATTATTATAATTATTAACCTATAACTATGCTGGCTGGGGTCAGATGAGGTTTTAGGTATTTCAACTTTGAGGTCTCCTCAACCTTCATTTCTGAGTTTCATTAGATGTTATAGGGAAGACAGAAAGAAATACACATTTGTCTGGCAATTTCAATAGCAGACCCATGATTGCCATAAATAACATCTAGCTTCACCCAACGGTTCTAGCAAATGTGCTTATCTTTGCATTATGTTTGCCCCCCCCTTGCAGATTTTACAAAAGGATCTTACAGATATGCACCAATGGTGGCCTTTTTTGCTTCGCACACCTACGGAATGAATACTCCTGGCCCTATTCGATTTAACAATCTGGATGTCAACTATGGGTCTTCCTATGTCCCAGCAAATGGACGGTTCCGTGTGCCATACCTTGGCATTTATGTCTTCGAATACACCATTGAATCAAACAGCCCGCTCCTCTCAGGCTACCTAGTGGTCGACGGAATAGACAAGCTGGGCTTTCGGTCTGAAAACACGAAGGAGAACAAATACCTGGAGAGAGTGGTTACTGGAGATGCCTTACTGGAACTGAACTACGGGCAAGAAGTCTGGCTCAGGCTTGCAACAGGCTCTATCCCAGCCAAATACCCACCTGTCACTACATTTACTGGCTACATATTGTACCGCACATAAATTCCATTCTATAGAAAAGCGGTCACCCACAATGGAAACTCTTCTCCTTTGCTTCTAATAAAATTAACTCTTGTTTGAGGCTGCCATCTTTTCTTTTAACAGCTGCATGATAGGCAGAAACGAGGCATGAAACCTCTTTCCCAAATCAGCATCTTCGTGCTGTAGGAAGCAACATTCTGCCTGCCACACAGATGTTAAAAGCAGGGGAGGCCTTGTGGAAAATAGGTGATGAGGCCCATCTCATTAGATAGGAGTTACCTGAATGTCAAATTTTGAAAATGGCCAGCTGTCCCATTGCACCTTTGATTGGCAAAATGGAAGTATTTGTAAATAGGTCTCCCATAGTTCTAGGCACCCCATCAGCTGAATGTCTTCAGTATGTCCATTATTTTTATGCAGCTATTTTGCACCAGTATAAAAGAAATGTACAAGAAGTTATGCATGTTATCACCATTGTTTAAGTGAATTTGATTTCAGCTCCTTTCAAGATTCATGTGACGCAGGCCACCAGTGGGTAAAACTTAAGCCTTGCTTTTATGGTCCACCAGCCAGTTGTACAATAGTGGCTCAGGGTGGGGGCAGACATGTTATGTACTGAAGTTCTCACCCTGGGCCAGCAGGGGGATACTGTAGATCATTATGCAAATGAAGGATTGAAAGTGACGTTCAGTGATTGGATAGTTTTAGAAAGTTGCAACAGTTACATTGTTCTGGAGCTCTATATAAGCAGGCTGACTGAGCTCTTCAGTTCAGTTTCTGTCTGGCCTCTAAATAAAGAAGAGCTGTTTGAAGAATCGCTGTGTCATCTGATATGTTCGCACACAACTTAACAAGACATACACTAAGTTTTTAGGGACCTCTGAATGTATGCTTCATTCTGGAACTGAGCTTACTGCCCTGTCACACAAGGATCCATTCCTGGATTCCCTCCCATTTTCCTTCAGTTCAGCCTTGCACTTCAGCGTGTGGAAAGCTTTTTTGTTGTTGCTCTTGTCAAGCTACTGAGATTCCAAAACACGTGTAGTGTCTACTGCAAATCACTCAGTAGATTCCTTCTGCCCACCCTGTCCTGGCATAGCCATTTGCTCATGTACCAGGCAGATCATGATGACACCATTTTCTATTTTGGGAGGAAGCTGTTGGGATGGCGGGTGCCATTGAGCTGGGAAGGGCACCACCTTTGTGATTGGGATGGTCACATAAACAGACCAGCAGAATGGGACTGCATCACTGGGAGATTTTCCCAACCCAATGGGTCCACTTCTGTGAAAGGGGCGTGCTTAGGAAGCACCTAAGCTTTGGAATCCCGGGTCCAAAATGGCCAGATATCATTAGGTTTCACTCTTCATTTGGTTACATAGAATACTTAGTTGAAGAAGCAATGTGCACATAGGCCAAATAAAACCATGCCTGCATATATACTCAATTGGCTTCTGTTTAGTCTCACCAGCACCCTTTCATTTTTCTTTGTTCATACCCAAATTTGTAGCTGGTCAGACATGTAAGGTATTCACATTTCACCTTGAAAAGATTCCATCTAAACAGCAGAATTCCAGGAAGTCTAACCTCTCTGTAATTGCAAACTTCCAATAAGTTTTTAATAAATTGTGCGGCACACACTGAACAGATTAAGAAATCAATCAGAGCACAAAAAGAAATGTGATGCTATGAGGCAACTGAATTAAAGCAGTCAGGGCCAGGCCAGGACATTTTGATGCCTGAGGCGAAGGACAAGAGAGTGCCCGCTCCCTGGTCTATGTGCAGAAGCCAGCTGGGCTGCCACTTGAACCTTAACACTAGTGATGGAATAATGTCATCCCATGTCACCTGCCCAGCACCTCTTTCTTGAGGGGTACACCTCCTTCTGCCAAATGGTAGAGCCGGCCCTGATGGTAGTTCCTCTTGCTTTAAAAATAGCAGCAATAATTGTTGAGGTGGGAATATATATATATATGTATGTATGTATGTATGTATGTATGTATACTAATTCAAGGGAGTTATATGGTTTACACAGTACACCACTCACAGGGGAGAGCTTTGATGAAAACCTGATCAACAATCCTTATATTTAATCTGTAGCTATTAAATTAGACAATTAATAGTACCAATTAAGGGGTTAACACATTCATCCCCCTCACTTCCTGCTGGGCCATATTCACTGATAATGAATCCATGATGCCTAAAATGTTAGGCAAAAAAAAAGTGGGTGGGAGACTGCGGCAAGGGAACTGTGTATTATTTACAACTGCTGTTGAGAATAACACCAACTGAGCTCATGCTTTGCTTTTTTAATCCTGTCTTCTGTTTATAAAAGTAATCTCCAACACACCATGAACTCTGAATATATATATATATATATATATATATATATATATATATATATATATTCCAACCATTTCTTTCATCAGCTGCACCTTATCTTTCTGTAAATACTTAAAATCCCCCATTTGTCACTAACCTATCCTAGCGTATCATTGAATTTTATCAAATGTCGTGCCCACATGGCTAAATCCCTCCCCACCCCTTGTATGACTTTGTCAGTTTAATAACCTGTTTAGCCCTCTTTATTCCTGCCATGGATAGGGCTAAATAGCGTGGAAATTACTCTGCGGATGAAATTCAAATGACCCACCAGAGACTGCGTCTCTCTCTTTAAATATGACTTTCACTGCCCTTCCTGCCCTCCCTGCTTAATCCTTCAAGCCAGGTCTCCATCTTCAGAGTTGCTAATTGTTTTCTTCTAAAGTCCATTTCTTGATAAGGCTCTCTTGTTGTATATTTTCCTCCTTGATACCAACAAATTTCGTTTCCCCAGAGCAGACCTCCGACCTATAGCCCTTTCAAATAAACGCATTTACTGAGAGTACACCTATAATGAAAACCGCACCCAATTTGCTTATTGAAAAAATAACACATATACACACTTCTCCATAGTTGTCCTCTTGAAGCTTGTTGGTTACGAGTAATAATTTAACAGATGGATATTAAGACAACATAATGTTTCTAAGAGCGATGCAAGTCTTTTGAGAGTTCTGTTGCTGCCGCCAAAAAATACTATGGACGCATCTTTTTATTATTATTATTATTCTTTTGGAATAAACAAGAATTAACAAAACCAAAAAACACCACGTCTGCAGTCTTTGTCATGTCGGTTTGCGTACAGAACACACAGAGAGCAAGCACAATTTGTGGACACCTCCAGGACCCCAGAATTAATTAATGGCCCCTTCAAATTAAGGCATCCCCCCAAAAATGAATATTGAGCAAATTGGCTTCTGGCTCCTCCTTCTCCACTACCTATTAACAAATGTTACGTCTTCAACTTCTCCTCCCAGTCTGCTCCAGCTCCCTCCTCTGACTGCACATCGCCTTCTTCCCTTGGGGATTCCCCAGCTGGTGACTCCCACCAGTCCTCTGCATCCAGCCAGTCCATGACAACATCCCCTTTGCAGATGTCTCTGCTAACATGTAGTTAGATATAGGTAAGAGGTCCCATCACCCCCTGGCAAATAGAAGGGGAAGAAATGGAGGCAGTGAGAGATTTTACTTTCTTGGGTTCCATGATCACTGCAGATGGTGACAGCAGTCACAAAATTAAAATACACCTTCTTCTTGGGAGAAAAGCAATGACAAACCTAGACAGCATCTTAAAAAGCAGAGACATCACCTTGCCTACAAAGGTCTGTATAGTTAAAGCTATGGTTTTCCCAGTAGTGATGTATGGAAGTGAGAGCTGGACCATAAAGAAGGTTGATGGCCAAAGAATTGATGCTTTTGAATTATGGTGCTGGAGGAGACTCTTGAGAGTCCCATGGACTGCAAGAAGATCAAACCTATCTATTCTTAAGGAAATCAGCCGTGAAGGACAGATCCTGAAGCTGAGGCTCCAATACTTTGGCCACCTCATGAGAAGAGAGGACTCCCTGGAAAAGACCCTGATGCTGGGAAACATGGAGGGCACAAGGAGAAGGGGGCGACAGAGGACGAGATGGTTGGACAGTGTTCTCGAAGCTACCAGCATGAGTTTGACCAAACTGCGGGAGGCAGTGGAAGACAGGAGTGTTGGGCGTGCTCTGGTCCATGGGGTCACGAAGAGTCGGACACGACTAAACGACTACACAACAACAACAAAGAGGGGCCAGCAGAAGATGTTATGTTATTTCCTGTTCCCTGCACATAAGAAGCTTATACTTCTTCTTCTCTTCTTTGGCGATCACTCTTGGGAAGTAAGATTGTCTTCCATGAACACAGTCTTAACAGTGGGAGAAACTTATAAGCACAGCCTGAATAAGTCTATAGTTTAATATGGTCCCTGCCATCTATTGGTGATTCTGCAACAATACATAACTCCATTAATAAAATAGAGAGGTGGGATGGTGTCTGTTGTTCTTAAGCAAATTATAGATGCTTTCGGCATTGCTGTATCCCAAATGGATCTCGACTTGAATTCTGTGCTGATATTCAGCTGGCAGTGCAGAGACACTGGAAGGAGAAACTTCTTTTGTCTGCTGATGTTCCCTTATCTGAAGGAACTAATTGGAGATCGTAAATCGCTAACAGTAAGCTAAACCCAGCTTGCTGTGTCACCCATCAATTGCAATCCCATTAAAACAGCCCTATTGCAGCACACATCATCAGGTGCATAGAGATGCATTAGTAATGCTGTCTCTGTGGCAGCTGGATAAACCTTAGCATAATGCAAAGGTGATCTTCCCCAGCCCTGTTCCCATCATGATTAAGGACGGGGAGGAATTTGGTTCAATTCACATTTCAATGTGAATCCATCTATTGGCATGTCCCAAGAACTAAAATGCAGCTGTCCTTCCAAGTTCACACCTCTGAATTTTGCAATACAGTTCTAAAAGGAGAAGAAGAAGTCCATATTAGAGGGAAGTATGCATGGAAATGCAGACATTCATGTGGAAATACAGCACGCCAAAAATGCATTAAATCAGCTTGCAAAAATGTGTACATTATGACAAAGTTGCATACCAAAAAAAGGGTACCTATTAATGAAAGGCACATTGAAATGATGGTGAATTTTCAGGAGGATTTAAAAAATATTCCACAAACCGATGCAGAAATGTAATGAACTGAATTTAGTAAAGGTAAAGGTAAAGGGACCCCTGACCATTAGGTCCAGTCGTGGCCGACTCTGGGGTTGCGGCACTCATCTCGCTTTATTGGCCAAGGGAGCCGGCGTACAGCTTCCGGGTCATGTGTCCAGCATGACTAAGCTGCTTCTGGCGAACCAGAGCAGTGCACGGAAACGCCGTTTACCTTCCCGCTGGAGCGGTACCTATTTTTCTACTTGCACTTCTCGCTTTTGAACTGCTAGGTTGGCAGGAGCAGGGACCAAGCAACGGGAGCTCACCCCATTGTGGGGATTCGAACTGCCAACCTTCTGATCAGCAAGTCCTAGGCTCTGTGGTTTAACTCACAGCGCCACCCGCGTCCCTGAACTGAATTTAAAATGGGATAAATATCTGACCATGCACTTTGCTACCAAGCCACACCCAACTGCAGACGTGGCTCCCTTAATGCTGTACCATCAATCTACACTGCTGTGCTAGTGAACCATCTTAGATTGTCTCCCAAAATGGCACCACAGCCCATTTCCTTCCTGGGTCCTGCTCACTTCTTTTACCATTACAGCAAGTCTACGAAAAGGGGAGGAGGGCTACTAGGCCTATCGACACCTTGGTCTCAGGAAGCATTTGTCATTGACCATAGCTGCAGATCAATAAAATCGGTCAGGCTAACCATTATGCAGAAGAGAGTGAAATCAATCACCCCAGCTTCCTGCGGATCTTTCTCTCCACCTTCCTAGCTTCCCCATTGCTTCTGTCTTTAAGCGTAAGTGCAAATAGCCTCTCCTGCAGCACATTTGTTTTATGCTTTCCCCGATAATCCAAGTGTGAGCGCTTATCTCTTCCCCAAAGCTCAAAAAACGGTAGCCAAGTCCGGCATCCGGCACATAGCAGGCTGCCTCCTCTGTATATTTGGATAGCCCAATTACCATGGCAACATTTTTATCTGCTTTGGCTTTGACAAGCCCATCCAATTTATCGTGGAGCTTTGCACGATTCTTTCCTCACTTATGCCAAGTGAGCCATCCTTGAAAGTGTTTGTCAGCACGTCACTTTTCCAAACACTTTGTTGCAAGCTGCAGGTTTTACAAGAAGCAAGATATCCTATTTCCCTGGCTTAACAGTACCAGTTGCACACTTTATTTACAAGCCCCCAGTAGTAAAAATAATAATAATAATGAAAGAGAATGGGTGACTTTGAACATAGTTATTTGGACAGATGGCTACCTTCATGGAATAGAGATGTGCAAATCTGTCAATTTCAGTTTCTCTTAATCTCTCCTTTTTCAACTCTTTGGTTCTCCACATTTCTTGATCAGTTTGTGACTAAAAAAGAAAAGTCCTCCTGAAAATTAACCAGCATTTTATTTCAAATTTCTCCTCATATACACATATCCAATTTTCCTAATATACATGTTTTGCAAAGCAATTCTATTATTATTTGCCGCTTTTTTCCAAAAAAAGTGAATTCCAAGTGACTTTAAAAACAACCCTTAAAATAAATTACAAAAATCAGAGTAAAAACATCCTAAAATGCTCACCAAAAATGTATATAGAATTGTAGAAATGTAGAGTTGGAAGGGACCCCTGAGGATCATCTAGACCAACCCCTGCAATGCAAGAATCTCAACTAAAGCATACATAACAAACAAATAAATTATGTTCCATACATGTTTGTTAGCTTCACTAGTATGTACATTAGCAAGCACACTTTAACTTGATATGTCCATTCTGGTATGCATTGCTTGACTGGACTACTGCATCTCAGAAGTCAGCTGGGGAACTTTGAATTTAGCCTGACAGCAGTTTAGCCAATAGCAGGCGGGTTTGGGGATGGGCATGCTCTGGGGGGGCAGGGCTGACTGGGCCCATTGAGGACTTCACTCAGGTCTGCTCCCTGGGGGTAAAAAGAGTGCCAGTCCCTCAGCCGGCACTCAGTCTGGAGACCGTGGAAATGTAATCAAAGACTCTTGAAGACAGAACTGATTATTAAATGGACTGCACTTAACGAAGGTTTCTGAAAACTACAAACAGCCAGGCAATTTGGTACATTAGACAAATGATTGGTTTAAAGGTTTAGAAACAGATTCATGCTATTATGGAATGTTAGAGGAAAAGATAAAAATTGTAAGGTAATGCAAAGCCTAGATGGAGATGTTCACTTCCTTATTCCCTTACAGGGAAAGGCTGTAGCTCAGTACTGTAGAAATAGTCAGTCCCAGGTTCATTCCCCAATGGTATCTTCAGATAGGTCTGGGAGTGACCCTGGCCTGAAAGCCTGGAAGCCACTGCCCATCCATGTAGACCAGGGTTTCCCAAACTTGGGTCTCCAGCTGTTTTTGGACTATGATTCCCATCATCCCTGACCACTGGTCCTGCTAGCTAGGTATGATGGGTGTTGTAGTCAAAAAACAGCTGGAGACCCAGGTTTAGGAAAGCTTGGTGTAGACACCACTGAGCTGGGAGGACCAATGGTCTGACTCAGTAGAAGGCAGCTTCCTCAGTTGCTATGAGTAATTGACTAACATTGCGTGGATGTGGCTTCAAAAACTAATGGTTGGAGCAAATTGGATGTGGAGTAAGTGGCAATGTGAAAATGCCCATTGACCCATCTAAGGTCAGTATTGTCTACACTGAACATAAGAGGAGGAGAAGCTGTTAGGATTCTTGCTCTGATCCTAACAGAAGCTGCATGGTACGGTGGTGGTTGTCTCTTTCTTATGTTTTAAATGTTTCAGATCTGCCCAATGAGTTGCTAAAACCTCAAGGACTGCCCCTCCCCATATGAACTGACCCAGACCCTGCACTCATCATCCAAGGCCCTCCTTTGTGTGGCTCCTCCACATGAGGTCCGGAGGGTTGTAACATGAGAATGGGTCTTTTCTGCTGTGGCTCCTTATCTATGACCTTTAAAACTGCATGAGGGGGTATTTTTGTGTTTTTATACTGTGTGAATCACAGCACAGCTAAGGGA